CAGCTTTATTGTCACTTTCGTCCCACTCTACCAAAGTCAGCTGGCATGAAATATATGTAAAAATGTTACATATTTCATTATCTAACCTAATTAAAACACCTTGCTAGCAACTGCACGTTAACTATTTGTTATAGTACAGGACTTGCAAAACATGAGGCAGCCAACATTCATGCAATAAATACAATTTTCATGTCACGAATGCCACGGTAATCTTCATGCATGTTCTGCAAGGAACATGCATGAGCAACAGCTCCTACACCTCAGACTTTTCGATCTGGAAAATTTAGATAATATTCTCTCCAATGTCATTTTTAATGCCATTTATGAGTATTGTCTGATTACTAGACTCCTAATCCATCATTTCAACACGTTACATAATAAAAAATACACTGAAAAAACAATGGTAATATACCGTTTTCTTGTTGAGTACGCGAATGAAACGTGCATAATGTGGTGAAGTACAACGAAACTGTAATCCAACTTATATTATGAATTACACAACCATTTTTCCGAGGTGCTTTAATTTGTTAAGGTAGATCCTTTCAAACTAAAATTTTACACAGAACACCCGTTTGTCTCTCGTGTAAAAGCATGAAAAATTAATTTGCATCTTTTAATTTATTATATACCTTCCGATTTAAGCACTAAACATCGATTTTTGCTCCCATCTTTTCCTTCTTGTTTCGCAATGCCATGCTAGTCTCTTACTAGGATTAAATTTGCAGGTCTATAGGGAATATCCTTACACGTTAAGTATATCATGAATGTGCGCCTCAGCAGCCCTTATATATTTATGGCGCCAGTCTTCTAACACCTGTAAACTTTTAAAAAATATTTATAAGATATTTCATCTCTGATAGACATGCATCAATCGTTATAGAAACTGCCATTCAACAAACCTAAAAAAATTGTATCACATGATGTTTTCTCTACGTACACAAGAATTAAGTGAATTTCTGTTTAAGCTCATTCATAACTGAAAGTGATAATTGAATTGGATTATATGTTTTTTGTTTGTTTAGCTGTGAGTACGTGCGTCTCTAATGCTCAATGTGGACAGCATCGCAGTCTGAACTATTCTAATTTCAACGACACAGTCAGCCTCGTGAAAAATATAGGCGTTCCGAGAAATTATTATGACTGGCAAATCACGTTATGTTGCTTACCAAAAAATACTGTTCCGTAATTGGGGAAGCTTTTTTAACAAAGTAAATTCTCACTGAACTCATAACCGAAACTGTGTCTGAAAGTAATACTGACGCACATTACTCTGTATAGTATATCAGCAACCACAATTCAGTATACCTCAACGCCCTCAGCGTGACATACTGCATTACAACGTGCCTTTATTAACTGCGTCTACGTCGAGCGTCGATTTTAATTGCGTTGTGGTCACGTTCCGAGGTTGTGTTTCACAACTGTAATTGGAAATTACACACGGCGCGTAATGAGAGGGGCTTTTTGCCAATCAACTCGCGGGTGCCATTCGTGCCGGCTGGACTGCGTTTTTTTTCGACCCTTGTTGAGTGCATTATAATACAAAATGTACACTAAATTTTTGGGTGTAGAATATATTCCAAAGTATACAATATGTTATAAGGTATACAATAAACTGTCAGGTGTGTTGCGTCTAATTCATTTGTGGCAGCTATTTATTTTGTTGAGAATACAATGAAAACTATTTGACGTCACAAAACAAAATAATGCTCAATCGTTGCACTGGATTGCGCGTGAAGGTCTTCCAGTTTACTTGTCGTGGGAAAGAGGTTGTTAATTAAATAGAAATATTTTCCCTAGAATGGTGTTTCAGTTTATTTGAAGTTCAAAGGAACGATTAAACGGGTATAGAAGCCAGGAATTCGCCGCACTATCATGAAAGTATTCCTTATAAATAATATCACAACAGTATCGCTATATTTGGCCAGCATGCCCTGCCTAGCATGGTCAGTTAGCGCATACCGCTGTTTAGTCTCGCGCTACGAAGACCACCCATATGGCCCATTTTGGTCCTATCACGGCCGCCGCTACAACCTTCCGAATTAAACTTATATCCGTACCAGCGGCGGCATATCATCGGCCATTTAAGCGGCCAACCATAGTGACCATAGCTATGTTAGCATTCATCGTATCACAAGTGAAGCTAGGTTGGTATTCATGATACGATTCTTGATTGCTAAATTTCCACCGTGAAGTTCACGCATTGAATTTTGATGTCGTTTCCAAATAAATTAATCGAGAATGGTCACGTATGATTACAGAGTGGCTTTTGCATAAAAAGTAAACTTGCATCCGATATAAACATAAATGTGCACTTTTATATAGATTAGGATGCAACAGTTGTGCAGTTCCCTGACGCAGCTTAGAACTTTGGTTTAACTCGATACGATAAGTAGACATGCACTGCCCACTGGTCGTGCTCTTCTAATAGTCACTTTCAGATAACGACACACACGGAAAAGGAATAATTTCCTTTCATAACAAATTTTTTAATCATTAGTTTTATTTTTTATATGCTATAGTGCTTTTCTTGATGATTCTTTGCAAGCGCTGCTGCGTACATACGTTCTATATATAGGCTTGCGTGACGCACGTCTTACCGATGTCCTTGTACGTGACGAACACAAAGGCATCCAGCCTATCACTGCTCACCAATACAAACTGTTATGTCGGCTTGTTGTGCTGATACCTGTTCATAAATTATCATCCAACATGACTGTGAAATGTAGAAAAATTTAATATTCAAAGATACAGAGGAACTGAATTAAGAGTCAGCTGAATTGTTCTTTTGATATTTGAATACGACTTGCTTATAAGCAAACCGGTTGGGATTGCCATCTGCTGTAACATACTTGTATTGATTTGTAATTGAATTGTTTTTATCTGCTATGATATTTAAACATAAGTTTATATAGTTGTCAGGTGCAGTCCAGTGTGCTGGAAGAGACGCCACCTGGAGCGTCGAGATCGTTAGATTGCCATCTGCTGTAACATACTTGTATTGATTTGTAATTGGATTGTTTTTATCTACTGTGGTATTTAAACACAAGTTTATGAAGTTGTCAGGTGCAGTCCAGCGTGCTGGAAGAGACGCCACCTGGAGCGTACAGAGGTGAGGCACTGCAGCCCAGCACGGCCTTGATAACATCGCCAGGGTCCAAGGCTGCAAGGCTATACGACGTATCTCCCTTCCTTTAATTGCTTCACTCAACCGAGCGCTGCACTGTCGAAGAAACGAAGAAGTTACGGCCCTTTGTGTTGTGCCACTATCGGTAATCCTATTAATCTCTTCCCTTAAATATGTCTACATTCCACCAGAAATATCATGAAATACAGGAGAAGCTGATCACGTTCTGTGTTGGTCAATGTTGTTTTATTATAAATGCATTATTTTAAGCAAACGAATTGCGTAAATTTCTTCCAGTCTAACAAGAATGAGTAATACACTCGTCTCATTGACTATGCATGAGGGTAACGCTACACGCAATTAGAAGTTTGTATGTAAAAATTATGCAGGTGTAAGGGCTACGTATGAGTCAAGGATGAAATATTTGATGTCTCATTCTTCGTGGGCAGTTTGTCAATATGATCATAACTTATGAAGCGCCGCAAAACGAGCTTGCGGGCATTTCTTGAATATCTTTATCATTATGCCAAATTCAATGATTTATGCGAATCAAAAAGAAATTTTTACAGAAAGTTCTGCTGAAAAATTATATTTCCTCGCGGTCGGTTTTCATTTTCATCATGGGGGAAAGTTATTTGCCAAAAATTTGTTCCTATTCACAAGCCTGATTCCGTTCTCTCATAATTGAGGGAAGGCCGCACTTGACGAATTGGACCTATAGAGAGAAAAAAAAATCACCAACCAAACAAAGACAGACGTCAACTCAAATTCTGATCGCTGTATTTGAAACTCAAGAATCCCGTTGGAGGTTTTCGTGTACATTTGATCGGGTTGTGGGTATGGAGGAAGGTTATAGAGTGCACCACGCATGACATAACGCGTGTTACGTCACGCCACTTTCACGCGCTCTAACCTTCGTTGCGCATGACCCCTTCACAGCTCTCCATGACACGACAGGAAGGGAGTGAGACAACGATGCTGGCTAACCGCGCTATGTTAGATAGCATTAAATTAATTAATTGATGTGTTCAACGGCCTCCAACCAACAAATTAATAGAAATGAATGGAAGAAAATAATGCTCCTGATCTTCATTTGGTGCTATTTTATAACTATGCCGACATTTTCATCTGCTTACATGTTGATTTCTACCGACGACTACACTGAACCACTAGCTGATCTCTCTGATCATGTCGCATCACTTGCTGATATCAGCAGGCGACTACACTGAACCACTAGCTGATCTCACTGATCATGTCGCATCACTTGCTGATATCAGCAGGCGACTACACTGAACCTCTAGCTGATCTCACTGATCAGGTCGCGCTGCTGAAAGGCTTCTTTGTCGCAGCTGCTGAGGAAGCTGCGCGCTGGAGCCCCTCTTGCCTATAGTACAGCACTGCCTCAGTCTTGTTATTATTTAACGCTCGCTTGAGAATTGCCGCGAAATATTTCTTAACTAATATAAAGTTTATGTGTGACGTTTTAATTGAACTGCAGAATTTCTATAGCTCGTTGATGTGCTGCTGATTCAAATATTTTATAGTTGTGCAGAGCAGATTTACACTTTGTGTGTGTAAATCAAATTTTAATCTTCTGTGAAGTTTGTCTTAATTGTACCTCAATTAAATCTTGAATTTAATTATCACTGGTTTATTGGATGGAATTTCGTAGGTGATTTTTGAAATTTTAGCAATTTAACGACTGGCCGCCCATTGTGCGAATATGTCGATAATTTTAGGAAAGCCTTCGTAAATTGTTAGCATGTGGATATGTCATCATTGTTGCTAAAGTAATGGCTTTGAGCTGTCAAAATTTAAACTATAATTCAACCCGAACTACCTTCTATGATACTAACGAACACTTATTGTCTTTTGCAGGTTTTACCGCTCACTTTTTTACTGTAAATATAATCAAAAGCACTTTAGATTTCTGCTCAGTTCTTGAGCGAATTAAAATCTCATTTCGATAAAATCTATTCTGATGTTCTCAGTGAGGCTCTTATAGATTACGAATATAATTTTCATATGTTTAATTCAGTATTTGTGTAGTGAATTAATGTATAAGTGTTAGAAATGTTTTTACTGGTTGATGAAGATGACACCGTGTAAAAATGTACTTATTCGTCGAAGACTGGCGGACTTCAAATGGCTGGACTGAACCAGCTGGATAGTGCAGCAGCTGGACAGTGAACCATTGTAGTGCACCAGCTGGGCAGTGAACCATTGTAGTGCACCAGCTGGGCAGTGAACCATTGTAGTGCACCAGCTGGGCAGTGAACCATTGTAGCGCACCAGCTGGACCGTATAGCCCATTATTGTGTAGAAGCTTATGAACCACATAAACAGTGAACCATTATAATTCACCAGTTGGTTCTTAACCCATTGAAATGTACCAGCTGGACTGCGACACAGTGTAGTGCAACAGCAGTGGTGTGACACATTATTGTGCACTAGTTGGACTACGAACTATTGAAGTGCCGCGTCACGAGATCAAGACACTGAAGTGTCTCAGTAGCACTCATATCAGGACACTGAAGTGTCTCAGTTGCTCTAGTGTATCACTCAGGAGTGACAGGACACACGATGCTGGGACAACGTACAGGCGTAACGTGTATCAGGAACACCTTGTGTGTGCTCAACGCTGTAACGTGGGTCAGTCATTGCATGTGCACTCACTTTTCTAATGTGCACCACGATTACAGTTTATATCGTACAATATTGAGCAGTTTATTTTGTTTACATTAAATGTCTGAATTAAATACTTGCAAAATTAGTTTGTATTCTTTTTGAAAGCTGGATATTTTTCCTCGACCAATTGAAATTTCCTAACACATTCACTATCACCTTTGCGCCCTCAGATTATTTAGCGCTCTAACAAACTCACGTTCGCCATTCTCAACCGTCTCACATTCAGTAATACCTATCCTCCATCACATTTGCCAGCGCTTTTGCTCCCTCATATGTATGCCTCACGTGTAAGCCTCACATGTATGCCTCACGTGTAAGCCTCACTTGTAAGCCTCACATGTAAGCCTCACGTGTAAGCCTCACATGTAAGCCTCACATGTATGCCTCACGTGTAAGCCTCACATGTAAGCAGGCTTTGCAAGGTTTTCCTTCTACCCCGTAGACCCTCACAGGTTCTCAAGCGTCGAGTGATTGAGAGAGGGCGCTCGAGTGCCCTCGTGTGAGGGTGCGTGAAGTGCCCCTCGGATATTGATGAGGCTTGTCGGCAGGAGGTGTCGGGTGGGGATGCTACCCTAGCTTAGGGGGAATGGGTAGTTGCTTGGGGGGAATTCACTCCGTGCTTGGGGAGAACTCTACTTAGGGTTGCTGTTAGGGTAAACACTTTCTGGAGTTTGTCATGCTTGAGTTAGGATGTAACGTGCTAGTGACTTATTGGTAAGGTGATTATAACTAATCGGTTATAAGTTCCTAAAACTTCCTAGTTCCTAAAAAATTTAGAGTCGCCCCGGCGTCTGGTAATCCAAATCAAAAGCTGCCGCGACTGTAAATTTTCACTGGGATATAAATCCCTCGTTCTTCCCCAGTTGCTTGGTTGCGCTGTGCTCGCTACCGGCATTTGGCTGAGGTTGGCGTATGAAGGATACGCTTCTCTCCTTCGTCACTACGTCGTCATCTCGGCAGACTCTCTGTGCATCGCCGCTGGGGTCATCACCTTCGTGCTCTCCTTCTGCGGCTGCTGCGGGTCCTGGTGCCACAACCGCTGCATGCTTATCTCGGTGCGGTGGCATCACGTAAACATAGTAGCGTCGTAAGGTTTTTTTATTTAGACTTGTCTATTTTATTCATTAGTGTGGATGATTTTTACTATTTATGTGATAACGTAAACAAAGTAGCATCATAATTTTTTTTGTTTAGTTATTTAGACCTGTCTATTTTATTCATTGGTGTGGATGATTATTACTATTTATGTGATACCGTAAACATATTAGCATCATGAGTTTTTTTTAGCTATTTAGATCTGTCTATTTTATTCATTAGTGTGGATGATTTTTACTATTTATGGTCATGCATTTATGCTTTATTATTGATCGATGTGTAGAATGTGGTGTAGAATATTGGCGGCTCCGTAGCTAGCTTTTTGCACAAAAACATGTTGGATTTATCATGCATGTATTGTAAATCCGGTCGCACCCTTTTTTTCTATAATAAACGTCATGCTTACTTACTTCTTAACAGTGCTTTTCGGAGGAATAATATTTTAAGTAATATTATTTGTTGCTTGATCAGCCGATCGCACCGCAAACTCCATAGAAAACCCGTTTGGAAAAGTCCAGCTTCGTAATAGATATTTTATGCATGTTATATGTATGCCTGCATAAGTATTTTATAGACTATTTAATCATTACTCCCAATACAAAGTGTCGGGTGCTAATTTTTCACCTATCAATCAGAGACAAGAAAACAGAGCGTAAGTACCTACGTTTACTTAGCGAGTTTTGAAAGTATGGGCCTGTGCAGTACTTCTGCCTGCTGGTGTCGGTGCTGGCGCTGGAGCTGACTGCGGGCGCTGTGGTGTTCGCACACCGGGCACAGCTGGGCAGCGCCCTCGAGGGGGAACTGCGCGGGGGCTTACGGGCAGCTGGTAACATGAGTGATGATAACCTCGTGGCCACCACCTGGCATGGTCTGCATCGTACCTTTCAGGTGAGGCGTGTTTACTGACTGCACGGATATAAAACCAAACTCGTGTTATGTATGTCTTTTGTTTTCGTGCGTTTTATGCAGGTGAGGCGTTTTTACATGTGACAGGGATATAGAACCAAACTCGTGTTATATATCTTTTATTTTAGCGCGTTTTATGTGCTCAAGACTTGCCTTGAAAATTTACTATATAGGCACATGTGCCGAATAGGTTGTATACGACGTAGTATTTATTGCGTAAACACAATTTTAATCAATTCTTTTTTCGTATTACAATACAAGGAAGATTATACAAAGTAGCGTCAAACGTTTATGATGTACATGTAGAAAATCGCATAGTATTAGCAAACACAAACCTCTCTACAAGGTTACCAATGAACTTATTCAACTGAAATTATCATCAAAAGAATAGGTACGCTTAATGTCATAATTTCAAATAACGTGTAAAATTTTCATGTTCTCAGATTTTACGAAGGATAATAAAAAGTGATCAAGGAACGTGTAAATTTTTCATGTTCTCATGTGAAGTTTTCATGTGAAGGATAATAATAAGTGTCGTATATTTTCAGTGCTGCGGAGTTTCCGGACCTGCGGACTGGCACGACAGCGAAGCCTGGCCCGGCAAGCCTTGGGTACCTCAGTCCTGCTGCACCACCGCCTACTACAGCGACCCTGGTCAGTGTCTTGTGAGGTGGCACTCTTGTGAGGTGACACTCTTGTGAGGTGGCACTCTTGTGAGGTGACACTCTTGTGAGGTGGCACTCTTGTGAGGTGGCACTCTTGTGAGGTGTTTGGTGTTTCAGTGAGCAAGTATTGGCAGGAGTATAATAACAGAATTTGTTATTATCTAAAAGGTTAAAAACTTTGTTTTGTTGTACAGATTGCGGACGCAAGGGGCGGCTGCGTGATGAAGTAAACCCTCGTGTGGGGCGCCGGTGGCACCAGACGGGCTGCTATGCCGCCGTCAGGCTGTGGTTCGCCCAACGCCTACACATTCTCGGCCTCGTGGCTCTCATTGTGGCCTTCTTGCAGGTCTGTGCCTCGTGAATCCAATGTGAAGTGAGGGAGGTAAAACCTACAATAAATTAGCCGGAGTAAAATACTGCTTGTTATCCGATGACAAAATAACCTTTTTGATTTATTTGCAAGATGCGGAAAAAAATTCCTTAAGCACAGCTCAGGCAGTTTCAGGTGATTGCTCTCAGTTGCATTTCGCAACAAAAGAATTTTAAAGTAAGTCTATTGAAACGATTCCAATTTAAATAAAACGATAATGCAATGGAACTTTCATAATTATTCATAAAACTCCTCCACGTATTCTAAAGTGTTCCACTGATTAAATAGATGTAATTTTTTCAGCTGTTTGGCTTGATCGCATCGATGCTGCTGGTGTGCACGCTGGGCGAGAAGCGCAAGTCCCGCACCTACAAATCCTATGCCACGGACCCCACGTGATGTCGTCCGGCCTCTCGCATGATCATCCATGTTGGAAAAACCGCAGCAGTACTGCAGTTCAGTGGCCGGCTAGCCCTTGAAATAAAACACTGTCTCGCTCTTTTTAGTGCATTTTCTCATACATGGAAAAAATGCCCTATTGTGCTCGCCATGCCCGTCCGTCCGTCTGTCTATATGTCCGTCCGTGACTTCACGTTTTCGTCGACGAGAAAATGCGCTCTCTGTCACTCACTGCAGTGAGTACTGAGTTATATTTTTTCAATTTAGCACAAAGAACCCGTAGCACAATAGGTGAAAACGGCAAACTGTTTATTTGCACGGTGAAGCTGGCTACTGGAACGCTGGTCCCGTTTTTTACGGTTATTTCGAATATGTAGTATTCCCTATGATGTTCTGTTGCCCAAGCCCTTTGTTACTTGCGCTCTTATCGCCAAGGTCTCCTAAAACGTATTGATTAAAGAAAATATCTCCGCCAGAATGGGCTCTGTATTGTTGGAACCCAGTGTCCGTTAAAGGCAAACCGACCAAGTAAAGTGCACATTCCAAATTAGTCTGTATATTGTTGGAACCCAGCTTCCGTTAAAGCAAACAGTTTACGGGAAGTGCATGTGCCAAAGTAATCAGTAGTTTGTTGTAAGCAAACGGCCGTCGTAGCAGACTATGGAAAGTTCGCATGCCAAAGTAGTCTAAATAATGTTGGTGCTAAGCGTCAATATAGTGAACAACTCTAGGGAAGAGAACTATTGAATTATTGCGTATATTGTTGGAAAATATGTATAATATTGCCATTAGCGACTAGCGAGTCGTAGTGCACCCCCGAGTTTGGCTCAGGTTTCTCACCGAAAATATTTCGGGTTTGTCCTCAGGTTTTTGCAATTGTTTTAGACGTAGCGAACAATTGTTAATGGGACCAATCTAAATGCTATTGTAAATGCTTCACTAAAGATCCATTTTTATTATTTTGATTTTATGTAAATATTGTTGTTTCATAATGTTGCCCTGCCCATCATTACTCGTCTTCGCAATGTCTATGTCTTTTTTGCTAGTTTCGTGTACTTCCTTCCGATCTACTTCGCCGCACCGACCATTAATTAGCAAGAATCTAAGTGAAACAATTCTGTAATCTCCTGTCACTTTGCTAATCTCATTGCATTTTCTAACCTCATTTTTATAATGAAAGATCAGCACAGGACCTAAGGCAATGGAAATACCACTCGTCAGTCCAGCCTTGGAGGTCGCCGGAGTCTCTTGTGTTCCAGACGTCGGTCACTCGCTTTCTAAACCACGGAAGAATTTCAGAGGCGACAAAGCCAAGCAGTCAATTGTTTTAAAATTTATATACCATCTTCTGACCATTTATTGATATAAAAATCTCTTCGATTACCAGGAGCTATACCCTCGAAATCGTATTGCTTACGTTGGGCATGGCTTGTGAATTAAATTGAAATGTTGCCTTTCAATTTACGACGGGGAAGCTTTTTTTTATTATGAAATTATTGGCTGGTAAACGTTATTTCTTGAGAATATTCATTTTCTGTGTATGTATCAGTTGTTTCTGGCGTTTTCATGAACTTTTTCGGTCACTGATATCACTTGGAACGTGGTTTGTTATTATATTATCCTTAATTGTCAGACGTATAACGGCCCTTCAGATTTGTTATGAACTAGAACTGATGAAAAGTGTTAAATAATTGCGTTAAAATTATCAGCGTATTCTTTGTGTTAGTTTAAACGATTTTATGAAGCATAGCTGGCTTCCCTTGACTATTTCTTTATCTTTATATTGCCTTCTAAATTTATTATTGATTGAATCTAGCGATGATATCAGCGCTTGTATTTTTACCAAAGATGTTTGTCTTATTCCATTGAGGGGTGAATGTGCTGTCCTATTTTCATTTTTAAATGAACTTAAAACATACTAATGGTTTTAATAAAATGTCATGTTTATCAGTGTGTTATCAACTTCACAGTTATGATTAATTGGACTTATGGATTTAGAGATTGGAATTTTATTATTATTTTTTTTGACTGAAGAAAGTTTATGGTACTTGTTATTTTAGTTGAAAATTTGATTCTAAAATATTGCACTCTAAAAAATTGTTTTGAGTAAACAATACGTCGAAAAATGCAACCTCCGCAAGACAACAGATCAAGAATATCCGTGAAATGTTTGACTGATTCATGAATTGGTGCTACCGTAGCGAATTTGTACCTGACTTGATGAATCCTGTTATTTTAAATTTTGGAACTATGAACTTTCCAGACCATCGTCGTTCGTTGTGAGTGCAGACATTAGCTTGGAGACTTTGAGCAAATTTGAACTACATAAACGCTCAAAGAAATAAAAGGGTAATTGACCAAATAGCTATGCACTTTTTACCCTCGTGTGTGTAAGAAAGTGTTTTAATATTTGGACACTTTAAGTCATTCATTTTGCAGAGTGAATGATTGCATCAAGAACATGATGCTGCCAAATACACGTACGTCCTCGGGATAGGATCAGTAACATCGATCATTTTTTTCTCGACATTTTGGGATGTTTCACGATATCAGCATGTCCAGGTGCTCACGCAATTCGCATATTAACAGTTATTCGTATTAATGATGAAGTCTCGCAAATTATCTGAAAAATATGCGTGCAATTGAATATCATTGATGTGAACTACGTGATCATATAAACTTCAGTACGTGTGCCTAAACTAATTTGTAAATATTAATGTATATAATTTAAGAGAGTTTCAACTAATATATTTCTAATATGTTTCTTTGTTTTTAGATTTTTTCTGTGTTTTCTGGGAGGTGAAAGCTTTTTGCCTCTACTTAGTATGAATCACTCAATGTTTTATATTAGAATTTGACTATTTCCTAAGCTGTTTGTACAGTTCACTCGTGCATACGTATCAAACAAACCACTTATTAAAATTGTATAGAATTTTTTGGATAATGGAGTATGGCTGAGTATAAGCGTCTGATGTAGACAGGGTCTTCCATAAATCGGTAATTCAATAAAAATTTTAGCTCCGACATCATGATTTATTTTCCTAATGCCAGCGGCTCTCTGTATTTTTCCATCTTAACATATTAGGGTCCAAATCGAGTCACCAATAGAGTTATAATTAATTACGCAATTAGAAGAGTATCTCTAAATAATTTCCTATTATCTTTCAATTCCTGCTTATTTTTATCTCAAAATTGAAAACCGTTTCTGTAGATTTATGTAAATCAAAATGATATTTTTACCAGTGGTGCCAAATATTTTATTTATTTGGCATTAAATTTGGAAGGAATACACACTATCTGTAGTTGAATAAACAAAAAAAAAATTTCTAACACGTTATTCTAATGCAATATGAGCTTATTAAAAACTTTTAGTCTCCTATAGTTTGAAACCTTTAAAACAAATTTACCTTGATATTCACTAACTGAGCGAAAGTGTTACCCGTTGCTCTAGTTTAAAAACGCGCCAAAAACAAAGTAGTCAGTCACTCTACTATCGTTATTCGTGCTGAACTACCCATAGTGATATCGGCAATGATTCATTTTAATTCTGGCATACTAAAGTCACCAAACTTGTGTAAAGTTGAATTACGATAGTGTGAAATGTCTATATTAAACTTTTTCAATGAAAAACGCGCATATAGGATAAGATTCTAAAAATTACATCATTTTCATGTACCTACCGGCACAGCCCAGTGCCAACTTCCTAACAACTTACATACCGTGTCGTTGTGACAGATTTCGCCTGTTTCTTCTCTTGATTGATATGTGCAAATTCACTAGATGCCCTGATCGTGATACTTGTCTTTTTTGGACCCTATTCTTCTTACTTTCAACCCTATTCTTCTTCGGTATCATTTTGCTGCGATAGATTGAGACTCATTTGAGAGTTGTAGCTAATCAATTTACCCGATACGACGATACCTACCTAGGTACTTGCATTGTTCAATTTCAAATGAAAGAATCTCAACTTCAGTGAAGTTTTAGAGGCACTAGTTTTTTTTATTGTGTTACTGATAGTGTCTTTTGTAACGTAATCCTTTTTGTTGAGATAGATTTTTTTTTGTTCGGTTATCATTGCCATATACTAGTCTGTAGTCAAGCACTCTGCAGTCTGCACTCATTTCCTCGCCCTAGCTTGAAATAAATTAGGCTAGTAGTTGTGTTTGACATAACGAAGCTTACAGTTGACACTTGACACGTTGACTTTGGGTTGTAAGATAATTATTCGGCGTAATTAACTCAATTTTAGAACTTTACAATAGAATTATGTTATTGTGTAACGAATTTTTTGTCTGATACTGAAGTTCTTGCAAATTTAAATATTCGTTAAATGCTGTTTGCTTCTTAAACGTGCAGAAGCCTAGAACTTAGAAGCCTTTGCTTCCTAATGATTGAAGCATGCAAGAACAGTTTGTCTCAAGGTAAGATGCAAAATTAAGAGATTTCAGTAATAATAGAATTTAATTGCAATTTTTTACACACACGACTGACACGAGAATAATGAAAAGTAAAAATTCTGTAGAAAATAACTATTTATACAGTTATAAATGACATTCCCAGTTCATAGTTATATATTTCAGAATTTTGGCAATTACAGTTGAATTTAGCAATTCACGAGTGAAATACCTAATGTTGTGATTATCGTAATCCTAATGATAATTACATCAGGACGTCTACGAGGGCTGTCATCATGGCGCCTCAGCAGCCGCAGGTGCCAGTCACATCTGCCTCGATCTACAGCAGCTCATGGCGCAGAGGCTCCCAGGCTGCTAATGCTCTGAACTATTATCCTGCAGCAGACCACACAACGCACGTCTCTGAGGCCTACGTACACGAGACTAGTTTTGGGAATGGTGCGCTTAACGCCGGTGCATTTGCAGCGTTCGGTGATGTCGGCGAACTGCCAACTTGCCAGCTCGGTAATCTTCCTGGATACATACATGACTTTCGGTATGCTAACAATAATACCCTAGAGAGAACACAAGGGGGATTTATGCCTACCGCCATCGTAAGAGATCAATGGGATGCCGAGCATGGCAACGAGGTACCTATCGCTCAAGGAAGATTCCAGTCCGGAGTCCCAATGCAGGGCCACGAACCTGGAACGAGTCAAGGGACTCACGAAACCGAAATGACTCAAGGAAATTATGAAATGGAACGTCAACAAGAGTATATATTGACTCACGAACCGACACAAGTCACTGGTGCATACGAACCTGGTGGCTTCCAGTTCACTCATGTTACTGACGCTGCCTATAGCAATTTTGAGTGTACCGCTTTGTCATATCAGCCTGGAATATCAAGAAATTATTTAGAACCTGTGAACCTAACTGGAGTCTTCGAACCTCCAAATTATAGTCTCCATGGAACAGGTGTAGTCAATGGATCGTCTCTACCTAGACTTACCTCAACGTCCCAAGTGCCTCCTGCAGCTCCACGATTCTCCGAACACGAACGGCTCTCTTATAACCAGATCACGGAAGCTGGAATCTCCTCATTTGCTGATGACGATCGACTTGCACAATCTCAGCGAATTGAGAGTGCAGCTGAATCTACCCAGTACGTTCAATACGATATTCCGGGTGTAGATGAAGAGTATCAAATTAATGAAGAATTTCAACAAAATATAAATAATGACCGAAAGCGTAAGAGATCCACAGCTGAAGAATGTTCCGCTCAGGACGGACAAAATTATCAACATGATACAAGAGCAGACACTGGCATGACATATACAGAAAACGTGACGGAAAAAATTGTTAATCTTGAGAGAGGAAACAACCGAACTGAATATGCTTCCTCGTCTGTGGTGCAGTGCTCAGAAAACATCATCCGATCTCACGTACCGGAGCCCCCAAGCCGCTGCACTGATGCCTTACATATATGCACTGCGGCTCCTACTGAAGAAGATGTCCCATACATTGCGGCCCCTACTGATGGGGGTGTCCCAAAGTCTGGGTCTTCTGGTCAGCTAGCCCCGCCGAGCAAAGATCCACGGGACGCCAAAGACATTAAGCGTCTGGGCGCGTGTGAGTGAACGTCTTTGACTCTCTTGTGTGTGTTTTTTCGTGCTAAGCTTACGCCTATATTATTTACAAATATATAGACGCGTGTTGGTGTTTTCTGGTTTACTGCATGCATAGTTCTTCAACTTTTTAATTTTTTCTTAGTATGGAAAATATTACAGGGATCTGAATTTTCCCGCCATTTCGCTCATTTGTAGGTGAAGAATATTTACATTTCATAGTAATGGTGAACATTCTGTAAAGAATAAAAATTTTTCATAGCATATAAATTTCCACATCGACTCAACTTGGCCTGATTGTTGTTGCCTCTCACGCAAAGCAACAATAACGTGCTGGCAGTGTCCGGACTCAGACACTGCCAGCTGGCACTTATTTAAACGCTCATATCGAGCAACTGCTAGAAACTCGCCTGTTTCAGCCTGAGAAATATATTCTCACGAATCACAGTGTGCCCATTAATATTCTAGCTATTTTTCTTGTATCTTTCTGAATAATGAACCACTATGTTCTATGTTGTAGCGACCCCTACCTATGACGGCAAGGCTGTGCTGCCTCCCATCCCCTTGAGTGCCATCAAACCTGCGTCCCGAGACCGCGGGCCGTACAACCCTATAAGCAGCAGCATCTCTAGCGGCGCCCGAGGCGAGGAGTCCAGAAACAACATCGCTACAGAACACAACATTCAAGAAAGTAGCAGTGACGGTGGTAAATTTCATACCCCACATGCTGTGGGCATGAGGTTACCTCGTGCTACTCCCGGTCAAGGAGATAGTTTGGTAAATCGCTCCTCTTCAGTAAACAATACAGAGGGAATTTCCACAAAGCGTCAACCATATTCTGCCTCTGATACAGAGGAGTCCCGCGAGCAAAAGTATGCGAAATTCGCTGGTTACAATACCATATCAGACGGCACGAGAACGTCGCTGTTTTCTGATGCTGCCCTGCACGCTGCCATGGCCACACCATGTGCTGTTGCCTATCGAAAGTCATCTTCGTCAGGGGGTTTGGGTTCCTCTTCGTTTTCGTCGGGGCAAGTGCAGCTAAGAATCACTCCAAACGCTGGGCTCACGGCCCATAAGCCTGCAGGTTCAACTTCAAATTCATCAGACAAGCCCGCGTTTCTTGCATCGATCGCTTCATTCAAGACTTCCATCCGTAACGCCGCTCTTAAAACTCCCACGAATCCATCATCTGATTCGTCGGGTTTTGGGCTTGGAGGCTTATTGTCTGGGTCTGCATTATGTAACCAAAGGTCTGGTTTGCGAACTCCCAGCTCCGCACTACGAACTCCAGGATCTGGATTACGAACTCCCAGCTCCATGGTACGAAACTCGGGGTCTGGGCTGCGTACTCCAGTTTCTGGAAGGCGTACTCCGGCTTCCGGTAAACGCACTCCAGGTTCTGCCAGAATGCCAGGTGGATCTGCTAGAACTCCCGGATCGACAAAAGATGACGAAGATAGCGTCCAGCCTGCAACTGTTGTCGGTAATATTACTCACACTTCAGTCTAAGTATATGACAATAATAACTGTCTGAAAATAACCTATTATTTATTTGATGGTCAAGGGATAGCAGGTTACGTAGACCAGAGCATTAAAGAGTTGTTTTCATAATCGTACATGTCTAAATGCAGTGTGTGCACATGTCTAAATGCAGTGTGTGCACATGTCTAAATGCACATAATTTCTCCGTCATTGCATTGCTGAAGGGTTCATCATAATTTCAATCATTGCTTGACACATAAATTAAATATGGAAGTCGCAAATAAACCTCTGATGTGTTTACTCATTGATGTAAGCTTGCAGCAAACTTGTATTTCAGCTCCTAGGTTTCCCTTCAACAAGTTCTTATTTTACTTCATGTCATGTGTTTTCAATCTTTTGCTTTAAAATTATCAATGTGCGGAAAGTTTTTGGCGCTCTGTTCTTGTTCGGGTGTAACTCAATGCCGGCTAAAGTAAACCTGATCTGTATGCAGTGCTGGCAGCACTACTTTGAAATGTAGTGGCCGCTACCGCTACATGCTCTAAATTTAGCGGGCGCTACCGCTACAATTGCTTAAATGTAGCGCCGCTACCGCTACTGGAAATGTAGCGCGCTACTGCCCACCTCTGTCTGCATGGAACTAAAGCCTATCCCGTGCGCCGCAGTGTTGATGGAGGGCGCGGGGCAGGCGCGCTACACCGTCGGCGTGGCGGCCCTGGAGCTGCGGCAGCCACGCCTGCGTCTCGAGCAGTTCTCGGACACNGGGCAGGCGCGCTACACCGTCGGCGTGGCGGCCCTGGAGCTGCGGCAGCCACGCCTGCGTCTCGAGCAGTTCTCGGACACTCAGACCTACAGCCTCACCCTGGCCCTGCTCAGCGCCCTCAACCCAGTGCAGGTGAGCAGCAGACCTACAGCTGTGCCGTCAATTTAGCAATTATCTTGCTATTTCCGATAACAAATATAAATGTTTCATTGGAGGCTGCAACTAGCCGAGGTAGTCGGCCTTCTGATGCCAGGTTGGACGAGTGTGTGGGGAGAAATTCTTCTATGTAGTTGTTTTAACGCGTTCTAATGCTGCAAGGCTTTTGAATGAAGCTAATGTTTTCTGATAACTTATTTTTACATAGTTCTAAAGTTTGAGGCAGTTTAAGTTAAGGTTTGCTGAGTGGTTAGCTTTGGAGCAGCGAATTGGGGGCTTGAAACCTGTAACTATTGATGAAAATATTGATTAATAAATCACGAAGTAGAATTAAGATTAAAATCAACGAAGTAGCTGGTTGGTTAAGTTTCGGCGACCTGCCAACGTTGCCAAGTCAAAATGGCTGACGTCACTAGGCGTATATTTAAATAAAATAATAAAATGAATGGTTATAGAGCAACCCTGGAATATATTCAATGCATGGCGTTGTTTTCAGGTCCTGGTACCGAGCACCGGAGTGGGCAAGGGCGTGGGCAAGGCCGTGAGTGAGTGGGCGAGTGGGGCGAGCGTGAGCAGCGTGCACAGGCGCTACTTCAGGGAGGACCTCGGTCTCTCCACCGTCAGGAGACTCGCCACACCGAGCTGCCTCGCCGCCCTCGTGCACCTCGACGACAAGTGAGAGGGGGTTACTTGGGGGGTCGTGGGGGTTAGGGGTGTGTCATATCACCTAGACAAGTAAGGTGAGGGCCTGGTGTGTGTTGCGTATGTTTGTGTGTGAGGCGGTATGTACCAAGTCTATAGCTACAAAGCAAAAAATATGAAGTATTTTCTCTCGTTTCCTTTCACAATGCAGAATATTGTAGCAATATTTAAATATTTCCTGGTGCCAATGAGATCCCAATGTTAAAAGGTTCGCTCATACATCGTTCACGACGCCTGTATGGATGTATGGTGTTCAGGCATCTGTGTTTGGCGTCGGTGGCGGCGCTGCTGCGCTACGTGGAAAACCTCCAGAACGTCACCTACGCCCCTGCCAGCCTGCACGTCACCTACGCTGTGTCGGACCACACCATGCTCATAGGTGAGCACTCGTGCTCATAGGTGAGCACGTCGTGCTCATAGGTGAGCACTCGTGATGATCTGTCTCTTATACACATCTAGATGTGTATAAGAGACAGCATAGGTGAGCACCTCGTGCTCATAGGTGAGCACGTCGTGCTCATAGGTGAACACGTCGTGCTGTAATGCTTTTTCATCGCCAGCTTACACTAAGCACTACTATAATTGGCGAGCTCAATTGACTCAGCCTGGCATGGAATTAATGATAATGAAGTTAACAGCAAAAAGAATAAGTTGAAACTTTGCCGCAGTTAAGCTGTAGTACTTGTATCATCATTGTTAGCTACCCTTGAGTTTGTCACGGCTACAGTTGTCTCTGGATGTCGTGTATCTATTACACATTACCGTGCATAGGTAATGAAATACTCGACTCATAGGTTACGTAGAGCTGCCGTGCCCCCAGTGGGTTACATACAACTGTCGTGCCCCCAGAGTGGAGGTCGTGCACGGAACTGGAGGTGGTGCGGGCGCTGGACGGCGGGTGGCGGCACTCGCTGTTCGGGGCGCTGCGCCACACCAAGACCTGCGCCGGCACCCGCCTCCTCAGAGCATCCCTTCTGCAGGTGCGTCATCAGAGCATCCCTCCTTCAAAGTGGGTCATCCCTCCTGCAGGTGGGTCATCAGAGCATCCCTCCTTCAAAGTGGGTCATCCCTCCTGCGGGTGGGTCATCAGAGCATCCCTCCTTCAAAGTGGGTCATCCCTTCTGCAGGTGGGTCATCAGAGCATCCCTCCTTCAAAGTGGGTCATCCCTCCCGCAGGTGAGTCATCAGAGCATCCCTTCAGAAAGTGGTTCATCCCTCTTGCAGAAGTCACATCCTCCCTCGCGTCTTGCAGCCGCCATTTCCTGTATTTCCTTCGATACTCGCCTCCATGCTTAGTATTAAAGAACTTTCAAATATTATTATTATGCTTTTAATTTGATTAGGAAGTTAATTATGGTTGTTACAAACTGGAGCCGCGCAGGTCCGATTTTCTGAAGTGGTGTGAGTGGAAGTTTTTTTAATTAGTTAATATGCAGTTATTTTCCTTTTCTTCGAACTTCTACGTTTCTCTCCCAATGTACTTGAAAAAATAAATTTTTGCCGCAGTGCTAGACGTCTCCTATGCTCAATACACTATGAATCCAGATTACCACTGTATCGTCATAACCGTCTTTAATTATTGTCGTATAATGCAAAATCATGCGCTCTCAGCTTGCCAACCTTTCGAAATGCCTGTAATTCTCCGAATATTGCCAACGTTGAATATTAACGTGCCTAAATATTAACTGCTCTGAATATTACCGTGCGTAAATATTATCTTGTCTTTCTTAATATTACCGTGCCTAAACATTACCGTACCCGTGCAGCCGTACGCGGGGCTGGATGCGATCGAGCGTCGTCTGGACACGGTGCAGTACCTCACTGAGAACCCTGCACTGCTGCAGTCCATCCAGGTCTGTGGCGCTCCATCACGTGCAAATATAGCAGCCTTTCTCAGCACCTCGCTCATATAAACAAAGATCTGTAAATTGCTTGGAAGTTTTCAGTTTGACTTCTTTGCCGCAATGAAATTTCTTGAAATTTGAGTGTCGCTATAGTTTTGCCCACCACTGTTTAGCAACAACAATAACGGTTTGTTGAACGTAGGGTTTAACATGTTTGAAGAAAGCACAAGTTGCGCTGAAAGATAATATGCTATAAGAGATTAGAGTTACGGTACATAAGCAGGCTAATCAGCTAACAATGAACGCAATGATTTTACTTGCGTAAACGATAGTTAAGGCGTCACAATTACTATAATAGAACGATTTTTGAATATTGGTAAAGATTTATTAGCTAAATACATTGAGGTTATTCATACTTAAATGATTGATCAATTCGTGTTGCGGCCAGAGTGTGCTTGGGCGCTTCCCAGACCTGGACTGGCTCCTGACGATGTGCTCTCACCAACTCAATGAGGTAACGCTAAAACTTAGTTCTGCTATCACATAAAAAACGTGCTAATAAAACTAAACACGTTTTATCTTAGTGGTAGTGTAGTATTTTATTACTGATCACAGTTTATATTAGTGGTATTGTAGTCCTCTATTACTGATCACAGTTTATATTACTGGTATTGTAGTCCTCTCTTACTTATCACAGTTTATATTAGTGGTATTGTAGTCTCTTACATGTCACAGTTCCTAATTTACTGGATGTTCTAGTATTTTCCCACCTAGACGTGACATGAATATTAACTGCAATCTGGGCAGATCCAATTTGACTTACGATGGACAATAATCTATGATTATAATATCTCAAATTGTTTCTTGAGATTATTTTGTGTTGGCCACATTGTTGGCGTTGCTTCAGGCAGTGAATAAACGAAACTAATTAAGTGTTTAATTGAGTGCGTGAGAGCGATGGCCATCATGAATAGTGTGTGCAGTTTAGAGCTGTGGTGTCGATGTTTATTGTTCAGGCATTGTATGTGATGAATAAACGGGCGTTCACATGACTCTAAACCTGACACTCTCGTAACTTAGTTGGGATTAACGATTATTTCTTTCACCTTAGTCATGTTTCAAATCAGCATAATCATGATATTTCTGCTCACTATTTTTTTATCGAACGGAAAAAATTTCAAATGATTTCAATTTATTCGTATCTGTTTAAGCTCACTCGTACCTGTTCAATGTCGCTTGTATCTAAGTTCAGTTTACTCGTAGCTGTGTTCAGCTCGCACGTATTTTATGTCAGATCTCTTGCACATAAGTTCAGCTCATGGAACATCCTTGAGCCCCGATTGTTGTGTAGCCTCTTCTGTAGACAGCATTTGTGACTAAGGTTTTTAATAGAAGTGTGACTTAAGCTTATATGTTTGCCTTATGTTTGCCACCAGTCATTGACAGTGTAAATTAGACTCGTGTACCAATGTCAACTTGTAATGGCCAGATTAATTGCAAATGGATTCTTTGCTTGCAGCCCAATTTTGATGTGTGCAAGACATTCAAGAAAGTTTGAAAAGCATTGTGAACATAGTGACCTCAAACTCATTCTTGGCGCCGATTAGTATCAGTTAAATACCATCACCTTTGCTCTTTATGATGTTGAAATAACGAGTATCACCTTAGGGTGTTCACACGCAAGCATTAATGATGGGACGTTGAGTATCACCTTAGCGTGACCCGATGCCGGTTTCGTTACTGACACTGACTATGCACTTTAGAGTGATCCGACGCATGTATATGTGTGATGATGGTGATGATGAACATCACCCTATGGTGACGTGACACAGCCTAGACGATAGTGATGACGTGACCCAGGCCTTGTGTGAGCATCACCTTCATTACCGCATATGGTGCCCATAGGAGAGCGAGGAACGCAGCGAGCAGCGCCTCAGTTACGTGCTGGGGCTGAAGTCTACGCTGGAGCTGCTGGAGGGGCTGTGTGTGCTGCTGGAGGGCGCCACGGACCCGCAGCTGCAGGCCATCAGGCAGGTTAGTTGCAGACCAACCGATGAGCCTGTGCATGGTAACTGGCGCGTTGGTGTTCATTAGTACAATATTTTAGCTCCATCGTCTCTACCTCTGCCCCTACAAATTAGATTTTATCTCGCGTTAAACTGATGTCGGTTATTGCTTAATCACCTCCTGGCCCATACCCTCGTCTTACCCTCTAACCCATACCCACGTCTAACCCCCTAACCCATACCCACGGGCCACGTCCCACCCCCTAACACATACCCACGTCTCACCCCCTAACCCATACCCACGTCTCACCCCCTATAACACATACCCACGTCTCACCCTCTAACACATACCCACGTCTCACCCCCTAACACATACCCACGTCTCACCCCCTAACCCATACCCACGTCCCACCCCCTAACACATACCCACGTCTCACCCTGTAACCCATACCCACGTCCCACCCCGTGACCCATACCCACGCCCTACCCCGTGACCCATACCCACGTCTCACCCCGTGACCCGTGCGTGCAGGCGGTGACGGGTGCAGACGTGCGCGGGATAAGTGAGGTGCTGAGTGGCGTGCTGCACGAGGACGCGCGTCATGTCAAGGGCGCCACGGCCATGAGGATCCAGCGCTGCTTCGCCATCAGGAGCAACATCAACGGCCTCCTCGATGTCGCCAGGAAGATTTACTCGGAGCTCATCGACGACATTACCAGTGAGCTCGCATAAACATTACTGGCTCATAGTGTCCAAATATATGCGAAATTACCAGTGAGCACCATAAACATTACTGGCTCATAGTGTCCAAGTATATGCGAAATTACCAGTGAGCACCATAAACATTACTGGCTCATAGTGTCCAAATATATGCGAAAGTGAGCACCATAAACATTACTGGCTCATAGTGTCCAAATATATGCGACATTATTAGTTAATACGCATAAACATTAGTAGGTCATATTGTCCAATTAGTGGGCAAATCAACGACATTACGAGTGAGCTCGCACAATTATCACTGGCTCATATTGTCCCAAAAGTGACGCGTTTTCTAACCCACATAATGAGCAGAGAGCGGAGGTAGCACTGATGCGCCCTTTTGCTGGGCCAAACTGGGTCAGAATGAAGCAATCAAAGAGAAAAGGGCCTCGCTATTTGGACAAAAACAATTATTTCTTTGAGTGAAGGTCGTATTAACACAGCTCTGACGATAGCGACCTTTATTAACACAATTACCAACTGCCTTGCATTAACCTTTGTCAATATTATAAGTATTCAGATGTCTGGTAAAGAGAATTACTGTTAGTTTACAGACAGTTAATATTATGTTCATGATAACGCTGGGGGCGGTTTAATCCTGTCACTTTGTTCCTCACATTTTATTCACATTTAATGCCACGGTGTGCTTCAATTGCTCATATTATGCTCCACTGGACTGAACTTGCGAATTGAATCTCTTGCAGAATATTGGGCGTTGCTCAGCTTTAAACCAAATATAAAATCAATTTCATTTTATGAGTAATTATTTCCAAAGTACAATGATAGCTTTTTTTCGTTGGAAATCGTCAAATTTTGTTGTAATTGTTGATCTTATCAGCCTCTGAGTGTCAGGTTCTGGTGGTGTATTTCGCACGCTGTTGCGCCACGAGCGTTATAAAATGATTGGTGCCACTTGTTACACGCGCACGCAGCTCACGTGTCGGAGGTGTGTGAAGAGCATCGCGTGGTGGCACGTGTAGGGCAGACCGTAGCGCGTGGCTTCCACATCATCATCCCTACGCCGCCCCTGCAACCTGCGCCCAAGCTCCCTCCGATCTTCATGCAGGTTCTGTTTATCTAGACCTTTTATTGGGGTATATTACATTAGAAATATATTTATTATATATCTTTATTACATTTTGTGGGTGTGTGGTTTTGTTTGAAACCTGGCACCACAAATGTATAGAGACTTTTGGTGAGATAACAATTAGATTGGAGATAATTAACGATTGATATCCAAGATAACAATCGTGTCGGGATCTTGCATGGACCTAAAATTTCATTCTTAGTGAGAGTATAATGAGGCGATGCAAAACTGTGATAGGAAAGTTTGAACAGAAATAAAAGTTTGTATTAAATTGAAAGGTACAAATAAAATTTAGAAGATTTATAAAAAAATTTCGCCTTATATAACTGGGTTCAAACGGGAGTTTGACGTTCAAGGTAAAACGTGGATATGAATAAGTCTCTCTTTAATTACATTTATTATTTTTTGTTTTTTCCCCGCTTTTCGGGATAGTGGGATGAAAAATGTCAAGAATTATTGAAGCTGGGCGACGTCGAGCTGATCTGCTAGTCGTTTAGAAAATATTGCCTGAAATACTTCGAATTCCTACGGCTTTTAATTCGATGTAACCAACTGCTAGTATATTAATATTTGAGATTATGGCTCATAACGCTCAAATTGCTTAATAGTTTTATATCAGTACTTTCTTCCTATGCGGCGGTAGGCGAATGCATTGAGAAGGTTATTGCAGGTGCATTGAAAAGGTCATTGCATGTGCATTGAAAATGTTATTGCAGGTGCAGAAGACGCGGGGCGCGGTGACGTGCACGACAGAGCTGCTCTACCAGCTGGACCAGCGTGCCAGGGACAGCCTCAGGGAGATCCTCGTCATGAGTAACAAGTGAGTGTGACGTGGCTACGTGGTGCCTGACGTGATGCTTAACGTGGCTCGGCTTGTGACGTGGTGGCTGTATTATGGTTGCGTGTGGTGCCTGACGTGATGCTTCTCGGGTTTTGACGTGGTGGTTGTTTTATGGTTAGGTGTGGTTCATGACGTGAGTGTACGATGTGGATCCCATGAACATGACGTGCCCGACGATGTTTATGTCATGCACTCTGCTCACGACGCAGTGCCTGACGTGTGAAGTGTGGATCTCTTCGTGACGTGAGCTCTGACGTGGCCCCTGTTGTGTTTTGAAGTATTTGATGACATGGAACCGCGCGTGGACCTAGGCGTTATATGCGACGTGGCTGACGATGTGTATGACGTGTTACCGTCGCAGGATCTTGACGTTATATACGACGTGGCAGACGATGTGTATGACGTGTTACCGTTGCATAACATGTTGTGCTAAGACAGCATAACATGTTGTGCTAAGACAGCACAACAAAAGAATACACATTACACAATTATGTACGAGTTCAAGGTGCCAAGTGGTGCCTAATACATTCTATAGTAAATATTGAAGTGCTTCTGTACGCGTATTGGTGTTATACTCAAGGTTTATGAGTTAATTCACTATAATTTATCGTTACTTCCAAAATAAGTTTTTTTACTAATGTTTCAATCTGAAGGGTAAAATCTGACTCGTGATTGTCTTGCGTCTGCGCTGAGCTCCTAGTATGTGAGCAGGAGATGAGCGCAAGTGAACGCGTGCTGCTCATCACAGGACCGAACATGAGCGGCAAGAGCACCTACCTGCGTCAGGTGGCCCTCCTTCAAGTGCTTGCTCAGGTTGGTCGTTATCTGTGCAGGGTCACAAAATATTTGAATAATAGAATTGAACTTTTGCGAATTTCAACATTTATTATTTAATCATATATGTAAATAAATATAATTACTTGTATAATTGTAATATTATAAGTGGATAAAATTCGTTAGCACCTATTTTTCCTACTCTTTTTTGTAGTCAATTAAGTTAGATATAATATTAAAAATATGTATAACCCACCGCGACCATTGCAGATGGGAAGCTTCGTGCCAGCGGCGGCAGCAACGCTACAGGTACGCAAGAGCCTCTTCGCCGTGCTCGGCTCGCACGACTCCATCCAGAAGGGAGCCTCCACCTTCCAGATGCAGGTGCTGTCTTGTGCTGTCAAACATATAGGTCTTCTTAAAATATTTAATGAGGGAATATTTGTGATTTGCGGAATATTTAAACTTTCTTTTGAAAGCAACTCACATTGCACGTACGATTCTTGTGGATATTTGATCCAGTTATGCCAGATGATTTTTATGCTTGGATATTAACTTAACAGAGCTTGGAAATGAAATCGTCGCTTTGAATATTTCCTAATTACGTCATAACTGAGTCAAATGCGTGAAAATTGATTAATATGAAACCATTTTATTTTTATTTTATTTGTTTCAATGATTGGCTTGTTGTGCTGGTGTTACATGTTTTCTCGCGCATGAAACTAGAGCTGTGCAAACTATCGAGCGATGCAGAATAAGACAATGTACCAGAAATGTTACGAAATATTCTATTCATGAATTTTACAGTCATGATATCTGGCGTTCACTATAAATATTACTATCATTAAGAACCTTTATTCTTATTAACATCGTCAAACTAATATTATGCCGAGCAGATGATGGAGGTGGGAGCTATTCTGCAGCAGAGTGACCATCGATGTCTGGTCGTGCTGGATGAGGTCGCTTCCAGGACCAACGCTAGCGAGGGTGCCGCCCTTTGTTGGGCCATCGTTGAGGCCCTCATCAAGACCCGGGCCTCTGTACTCCTGGCCACTCACTTCTCTGCTCTCACCAACATGGCGAGACTCTACCCTCAGATAAGAAAGTGTGTCGTTGTCTCTCTTGTTGCACTATAATGCCTGTTTCTCTTCTTTATATCAATAGTTTGATTGAATCGAAAAGCAACATGGAATTAATAATACCAACAACATAAAAAGTACCTTCACAATGCTATTATTGAAAAATGTTGAAGGAGCTGGTCACAGAAAAGGTATATGATAGGTACGTGATAGGTAATGTTAGGTAGTGAAAGGTAATGATAGGTAGGTATATGATAGGTAATGTGAGTACGTGATAGGTGGGTATATGATAGGTAATGAGAGGTATATGATAGGTAATGATATGTATTTTGTATACGCGCTAGAACCTCACCGGTAACAGGCTTCATACATGTGCGAGCTTGGATTTCACAAGTAGTTGGTAACTTGATTTCTTCCATGGTGTTCAGTCACCACTTTGCGACCTGCGCCTCGGAGGGCGGGAAGCATCACCTTCGTCCCGGCGTGACGCCCCGAAAGAACTACGGTCTCGCCGCTGCCTCCGTCAGCGCCTTGCCGCCCACCGTCGTCCAAAGCGCCGTCCGGATCAGCCAAACGCTGCTGCAGCCCTGCGACTCGGTCCGAAATATTTATTATTGTCGTGACCTCCTGTAATGGTTCACTATTTGGTCTTGCTACACAATTGGAAATGTCGCTGTGACCTTGTTTGCATCTTTTTTTATATGTTAACTTTCATATATCGCTAGATTGAAACCATGAAGATTTTACAAACCCTCATTACAACCTCTGAAAATTAATAAAATACCCCCACGGACTAATTTACTCTCAGTTTGTTGATAACTGATGTACCGGTAGTGTCTGCACTCGCTCTGAAGTTTCTACACTTCCATTCATTTGTCATCTGTAAAATTGATTCACTCGTGCTTAGGACAACTGCACACAGAGTTTGTCCTTGATGTATTCATAATGTAATGCTCTCTATGATCAACTTGATTTAAAACTGATGTATGTAAATTAATTATCAGTATTAATGCGTAATTTCTTTAATAAAAATGGTACCGGTACTGATGATTAGCGCTTCACCAATAATACCAACATATGTACTTCTTGCCAACATATGCACTTTCATAATGTGGTCTTTCTTGAACAGGGCGAGTCGTTGAGTCTGTGTCCGGCTGCCGAGCGCTACGTGGCAGAGCACAAGCTGGCCCACAGGCTCATCAAGCTAGCCAGGGAAATGGTCCAGTCCGGCACCCTTAATCCCCTCCACGCAGACAGTGAAGGCAGGAGTCATCATGCATCAGATGCGAGCCACACTGTCGACACGAACATTATTATTGATAAAAACAGTGTGCGGAACAGTGGAGAGCAGGAAGGATGCAGTTCAGAGATGAGAGGATCGACTCCCGAGGCAGTACCCATGAGCAGTGACGAAAACTGTATCTCTGCTTCAAACGTGGAAAGAACTCCTGTTGAAGGTTTGAACAAAGATAGTGAAACCGAAGTCAAGTTCAGGAACCGAATACAGCGAACAGAAGAATCTGGAGAGGCTTTGCAACACGCAAGAGAAGTTACAGAAACAGAAGAAACTTCGCCAACGAATGTACGAAATTCTGCCGCTACGAGTGATATTGGAAATGACCAGGACGTTGAGCTCAACTCTGATAGCGATGCCACGGTCGTCTGGAGCGAAGAAGAAGAGGATACGTGTGCACGAGTAAAGCCATATCGTGCCAGACAGGAAAGGAAGCCTGAAACCAAGACTAGCCAGTTTGAAGTTCATCCTGCAAATGCTAACGATTCCGAGATCTCGAAATTAGAAACTCGAGAGAATGGACACCACTCCACGGCTGAGAAGAATGGAGGTGACAATGTCCCAAACGAGCCGAGGCTAATAGCTGAAAATTATTCCAATTATGAGGTCCGTCACTCTGTGCAGGTTGCAGGCACGGATAGTGACGAATATTTTCTTCAAGACAATGACGTCGGTGAAGAGATTCACAGCTCGAGGGATGGCACAACAAGACTGGATCCTCGCGCGAAAAGTATGTTGTTTTCCAGTATTCCTGAACGTAACTCAGAAAACTTGTCCTCTATTCAATCGCAAGAACTTCACCCAGATCGTTCACCTGTTGCTGTGCCAAAAATAGTCGAAATGAATCGAGAGCGCTACAATGAAAGTGAAACTGGTGAGTTGGCTGAGAAGCCTGACGCCATCAACGAGCATGAAAAACTAGGCCAACCATCCACCGTTGCGATTGCAGAACAAAATAGATCGGCATCATGGAGCAGAGCTGCTACACCGAGTTCAAGTTCCCCAGTCTGGGACGAGGTAGAAGAGCTCGTCAGGTCCAAGCTAGAAGGCATGCTGGTCGACTTCCTGACGGAGATGAAAAATTGCTGCACTACGCCTGCTGCTCGTGTAGGTGGTGACAGTGATGCTGCTGCTGCTACAACGAGTGCGCGTGCCAGCCACTCATAATCGTATTATATGATGCTCGAATCTCTATGTAAACAACGAATTATTTGTTACCAAGTACGTGCTGGAGGTTCTCGTGGCATTAATTCAAAAGTTGTTTGTGGAGCAGCATGTCATTTTAGAATGCGGAGTATCAAACTTCGTTTCATAGCAGAAGTGCGAATCTATTTTCAGAAGGAAATTATTAATTTGCAAATGTCATTCTCGTTTGATTTCTCGTTCAAGCAATTGATTTTCTCATGATCATTCTCTTCTCCATTAGCTTCCATGGCTTGATTAAATGTCCTCGATTTAGTTTCGTTAAATAAACACTAACTTTTTCTTATTTTTTTCCTGAGTTTGAGTACAAACATTTTCTTCGTACCCAATCCCTAAGAAGCTTCTCAGCTTCGCCGTTACCCACGACGCATTTGAATACCTCAGCCTTGTCGGATATGACCATAAACATCACCTACCAGGGTCATTCTTGATTATGTACTCTGCAGAGACTTCTCCGGGCAACAGCTTTGAAATCAAAAGTCTCAGGAGCTGATCTATGTCAGTAGTCCGCTAAGCAGTCGAATCGATGACATTCGCGCCTATCAAGTCTTGCTGGAGTTTTGCAAAATGTAGTGTATTGGGTGTCAATACAAGAAATAGCGAGGATGGCGGACAAAAAAGTAGAAGCATTACCATGCGTGTGTGTTTTGATTGCAAATGTTTACTCAACACGTACATGTGCGAAACACCAAGCGTGCGATTCTGCAACACAGCCTGACGCACTTGCGGTGGGATTGCAATGCAGCAACAGCCTTAACTTTTGACGCTTCTTTTTATTCATCTTTGCTCTTAAATTTCACAACTTGAATATGTATGCTACGTTGTATATGTTGCAATTATAAATTTATCTCCATCGCATTAATAAGCAATGGTCACGGTCAAATAATTTATTTTTGTCCGTTGTTGACTCCATGAACACGAAGCAAAAAAGTGCTGGGTTACAAAAAAAATGGCTTGTTCTCGGTAAAGCTGTGCGAGGAAACGCGCGAATTCCTTCGTTGTATGTGTTCAGTTTTGTTTTATAAATCTCTGTGGTTGGGCAAATAAATAATGAGAGCGCCATCATACTTGAAACAATGTCAGTATAAATGCCATTTCATACTTCTTAGCACTGATACTCACAAAACTGCTTATAATTTTATTTCAAGTAAATTGCGGTTATCAGGAAATGAGCCTGGCAAATCTACTGTGCTGTGTGAACAAAAATTCAATTTCGAGCTACACATGTAAAATAAGGAAGAAAAAGCAAACAGAATTAGTACAAATAAAGTTTACTCAATATGTCATCCATTAGAATAAATGGTAAGTCGAAGGCTTTTGGAAATAGACCAAAAAAATTAGCCATAACATCCAGTCATGTCCTTGCAAATGTATTCGCCTGAATTAAATAGCTCAACAAATGCCATTCGGTTATTTACAACTTTATAACTGAATTTACATATCTGACTGTATAAAGATTTCTTATATAGTTTCAAAAGTTTTGTCACATTGGAAAAAACACTAAAAATATTCTTTTCAACGTAATTGTGTTGAGGAATGTAGAACTTTACCAGAACCCGAAATTTAAAGTTAACGTTCAAACAAAATCACTATTCGCCTGTTGTTCTTGGCAGGATGTTGCGCCCGCATCAGAACTCTCGGGAACCGTGGAACGTTGCCGTGCTGACGCAGCTTTAGAACCGGTTCTGCCATGCCATCTTGAGATTACTTAAAAGACGGATAATTTTGCCATGCAGTGCATATTAATTCTTGAAGTCTCGTGCGTAAATGGAAATGACGTCCGTACATGTACTCTATATCTACTTGCGTCACATTGAAACACTAGCACTCAGATACTTGCTACGTGAATGGTGAACTGCAGTTGATTAAACAGGGCAACAGCTATCACGATAACAGATAAAATTAATTTAAATTGAGCATGAAAGCGTATTATTTTCTTCAGTGTACACATAATAACGATAAGCATAATAGGGAGAGCTACATTTTTTTGAGAAAATTGAAGCTGATTGCGATGTTAGGTACTCGATTACCTTACGTATTACATTAAACCTGATGAACTCCAACTGACATAGTTTATCATAGAAGACAAATATTGTCTGCTTAAATCACGAGTCTGCTTAAATCACTTACAGTTATAACGATCTAATCGGTAATACTGGTCTTAAAAACATATTGGTTCACTAAATGGGGTTCTATTTGTGAAATACACATTTGTGTTTAACATTTATCCATTAAAATTGCAGCGTACTAAATTTCAAGAAAGAGGCGTATGTTTTTTATATGTGTCAGTGGGGGGCGCTAGAAGCTCACTAGGGAGCCAAAGGGGGCGCCAGCCTGAAAAAGTTTGGGAACCACTGATCTAAAGATTACATGGATAATAGGATTCCATCAGTATTTGGATAATTTATCCAAACATGGAGCATAGGTTCTTGGATATTTTAACAATTATCCTGGAAACGCGCTTAAAATTTGGTGCTAACGAACGTCAGAACGAGAGCGTGACGTCTAACAAATTTAGTAGTTAAACTATCATTGCTTATCACAGGAAGCTATCGCTGCTGATAAGGCAGTATCTTATGCGTCTATTCTAATACGTTGATCCTAATTTATGATGATTTTATTTGTAAGCGAGGCAAGATTGAAGGTTGATAATAAACTAAATACAAATTGGATATTGGCCTCATGCGTGACCTACTTCACTCAGTTTTCGTTCCTGGTATTGCATTAACTGCCTCTCCAAATTTTTTCTTGTTGTTAATTTTATTTCTTAAAAACTTTGCAAATAGCGCTGCAATGATGGGTACCCTTTCAATGAGTGTTTTTTTTTATATTTTCAGAGAGACCGCGAAGTTTTAGATATTGTAATCTGTGCGATGAATAAATTCTTAGTACTACTACGGACTAAAATGAAAATTTGTAGACAATATTGACCGTTTTTCAATTATTTATATCCCATTTGTCAAAATTGAATCAGTTTTAACAAATCTCAGTGAAAGAGAGTTTAGCATTGAATGGTGACTAAATGAAGAGATGAGTTTGACTCTATGAATCATCTTCCGATTTCTCACCCTAATTCTTCAATATTTATAGTTCAACCATAATGTTTCCCATGAACCCAAGCCAGCATATAGACCCAAGGATTTGAGTTTATCTTCTGAATATCAAATTGTATGCAATACAATATTCCTTTACATGGTCAGAATTGATATCGTGGCTCAAGTGGGATTAACTCCCTCAAACGCCAGATAAACTGCCACCTTTATTTATTAGAGCTTTAGAGTTCAGTAATACGGCATGTTCTTTGCTGCTTCAAGCCTTATTGCCCTGATCAATATCTGTTGATTAAACTGATAAACGAGCGTTGACGGCTGAGTGAGCTTCTTATTACGAATGAACAGAATCTGATTGTCATACACAAACACGCTTCCTTGGTGAGAGCTGTTGGTCGTCTGCGTTCTGAATACATATTTTACATCAGATTAATGCATCGTATTTTAAAATAATTCACAAACAAAACGCTTTGTTATAGAATATTGCTAAAGTCTACATTTAAATAGTCAAATATATCTCATGAAATCATCAAACGAGCTGTCATATCCGAGCTAAGATGTGTACCCAAAAGTAACAATTAATTTTCTGATAAGACGCAATCGGTTCGAAAGCAAAAATATTTTAGATACAATATTACATCGACTAAATATAATTGAAATGAAAGACGCCAAAACGCTAGCGCTTGCTCTTCTTACTTCGATTGGTATTTTGAACATCGTTGCCAGCGATGTGTTGCAGTATGGCTACGGTAATTTTGCTGAAATTTTCAAGAATTTCAAAGAAAAGTCTTTCCAAGAGATGGCTTCAAGTTATGGGATCAAAAACCCAGACGGCACGACGACCGGAGGAGGGGCCTTTCTCTTGGATTCCTCTGGTTATCAGTGCGATGACGTGTTAATAAGTGCGAAATCGAAAGTGGAAATTGTCAGTACATTTTGGTGCTCTGGAACTGGTGGTGAACTGTCGCTTACATTGATTCCACTTTGGGACATAGAAATATTATTGTGTGACGGCACTGAAACGACTCTTGAATGGAGGAGCAATATTTCAACCTCCGAGGTTAAAAATGTACGTTTATTTTTATAATTTAGATGGTAGTAACATAAATCCATTATGTGTTCAGTATAATTTGTTTTCGTTAATATCCACATGTTTTGCATCCACATTGTTTTAAATAACTGTCAATACAAATTCTTTTGCGTCACTACTGGTAAAATATTTCATGTCAGGATGTCATTCTAGGCAGGATTCTCGCTAAAATTTACATAGATGCAGCAAAATCGTGTGTATGATTCCGTTTGTATAACCTATTCTCCGATATTCGAACTACCATTGCATCAACTAAATCCTTCAGTTTGGTCGGCAATCGGCATGGTGGGGACTACATTAGGTCTTTATAAATAAGCTTTGCTGGGAATGAATCACAGCCACTAGAGTACACGAAGAGCAAAATGAAGCATTCACTTCATTTCATTTAAAATTATGCACGTACTATGAGGAAGCAAGGAAACAACCTAGCTAGGACAATAATATCAGCAACTACTTTGCATTAACGTCAGTTCTTGATAGATCAGAGGCCAGTCCTAAGATCTCCAAGAACATTACTAGAATCGGCGACAAGCTAAACTTGGCCAATTCTTCAACTTTGATACTACTATACTTATATCCTGGAGACATAAGACATAATCTGCAAACAAATTGACAGCTGTACGGAGATCGTATTCGTGTACGGCTTAGCCCTCGTTTTAGTAAAGCCTAAACCAGACGCTGGGTCCTCCGTCCATACAAATGACTCTAGCTCGGCCTCGCTGTAGTTCGATGTCAACAGACTCGTGCACTTTTGCATGCGGTCTCGAACATGCGGCGAGGAGTTTTAAACTCATTTCTCCGTATGATCCCACATTCTTAATAGTCCTGGCAATTGTGTTCAAATTTCCAGATCATTTTCATAATTCAAGTTATTTTATAAATGAATCCTTTGAACAAGTTATATATTTATACTTTGTACTTGTGATTCACTCTTAATCGCAAAAAATTTTTATATGGGTTTTGTCAGTATTTTATTTCAGCATCCGAATTTCAAGAAAAAAATTACGTAAATCGAGTATTTAGTAATCTAAACAATTCACATTTCAGGACCCGACCATAAGAATCTGTGGCAACAGTCCACTAATGGGAAAAGCGATAGGATTCTATACTATCACCGTGTTGACGGATGGCAGCGAAATTCCAACCACGGAAGCGTCCTTCGAAACCTCCACTATCTCCGAAACAACATCAGAAACCACGTCTGCACTGGTAGAAACTAGTTCTACTTCTGGGACATCCCCTAGTAACTCTATAGAGACGAGTTCAATCACACCTGAATCGACTTCTTCCGCATCTACTATTTCTACGGATGCCAGCTCGGATTTAATGACGTCCAGTGAATTGCTCTCCACTGATGCAACAACGATATCACTTACCTCTTCTGTCGTGCCTACCGAATCGTCTACATTTACTGTTGTGACCTCCGAAACACCTTCCTCAACTGCTATGACTTCAGAATCATCGACCTCAAATGTTATGACTACCGAATCATCTTCCTTTGCTGTCACGGTTGCTTCAACTGAAGCAACTACCTCTAGTGCCGTGACTTCTTCAACTGAAGCATATACCTCCACTGTCACAATCCCAGCAACTCAATCATCTACTTCTTCCCTGACTCACACGACTACCATTACACCCACTGAAGAAACATCTACCTCGTTAACATCGACAGTTGAATCAGCGTCTAGTTTTCCTCCCTCAACTTCAACGCAAACCGTGACGGCTTCATCGGAAATAAGAACTTCTTCCAGTGATCCAACACCAACACGGGCAACTTCAACTCAATTACCGATTACGGAAATTAGCTCTTCGCCCACAACAGGTACGAGGGACTATAGGCAAGTATAAGTATATATCTTCATTATCGACACTTTAATATTTAAAACATAATATTGGATATCTTCGAAATATCTACTAATATCTCGTAGGTGGCATCGGCTGATTCTAGATTAATGATTAGTACATTGATTTAAGCATATTAATGTTTAAATATGATTGAATATATATTTGGTTTTGGTTCTAATTTAGCAAAGTTCGTGTCTCCCGTATATATACATAAACAAGAAATAAAATGTGATCAGATGAAATCACATCCATAGTACTCACTAAATTCCTACAAGAAAAGTGTACAAGGTTATTCAACTTATTGAGATAATTCCTGGAAATGTTCATCGTAAACGTAATTTACAAAAACCACGGTTGGTCACTGGCATCATGGTTGGTAGTAGATTTCTTTCCATTTTCAATGCAGACGCTGTAGGAAATCTTCAACCAGACTGCGTCGTGTTTTTTGCTGTGCAACTTTGCATGTGTTCCTCAGGCCATAGAATAAGTTTCTTGAAAAACACGCACTTAACATTCATCCCATGCATGGAATGTTTTGAAACTGAATATATATTCCACTAATCAAATAATCACGATTAATGTGGCGCAGGAAGTACCACGTCTGGTGGCGTGGAGCAAGAACCTCCATGGTTGTCGATGGTACTCGGCATCGTCGCTGGAGTGGTACTGACTGTATTACTGGTCGTGGTGCTTGTCTTGAAGGGCCTGAGGGGACCTTCATCGCACCGCCTGTTCTTGGTGAGACCATGCATGAGCAGGGGGTTCCACGGTCAATCTGCTGAGAGACCTTTTAGAGTTGAAATGAAGTTAAATGCCTTGAGAGACTAAATGATCGTCGTAATTTGCAGTTAACAGTCGATAGTTTAGTTAGTAGCTGGCAGTTGTGGCTCCTTCCTCTTAGAATTTAACTTCTATAATATCTGTAAGTTAAACTTGCTTAATGTTTAAGCTTACCGACCGGTGATATTTAATATTCACAAGTTTGACCGAGCACCGAATTAATTGGCAATATCGCAATTTCTGCGTTTCAAAAAATGAATTTATTAATTGTGTCATTTTCTTTTTAGCGCATTTTCTCATTTATGGAAAAAGTGCACTATTGTGCTCGCCATGTCCGTCTGTCTGTCTGTATGTCTGTCCGTCTGTCCGTCCGTCTGTCCGTGACCTCAAGTTTTCGTCGACGAGAAAATGCGCTCTCTGTCACTCACTGCTGTGAGTACTGAGTTATATTTTTTAATTATGTCCCATTCAACATTATAAATACCTTAATGCAGGGAACTTCTGTTGGTTTACTAATTAGCATCACTAAGTTACGCATGCAAACTCGTTACTCAGTCTCGAGCTCTTTTATTTAATAACGATAACATTCAATTAACGTAGTTGCTAGCCATATGCGTTTAATGGATTTCATATTACAGTTCAATTGATTTAAAATAGGTTAGTTTGGTTTCTTCTTTATCGATGTTGAACTCGACATTCCGCGTGTAACAATTGACTGGTTTGGGCAATTGTGAGTGATTTTGATTCCAAATGTGTTTCTGGTTTTATTATTATGACTTGTTTTAGTAGCTGCACGTGTATGAGTTTTCATTAATCTGAAATTCTCAAATTGTCATTACGCTGTTGATGTGATATTCAAGAGAAATTTTTGCAACCCATTTTGTTAACCTAAACATTTCCGGGTGTTGCAGATTACAGATACAAATGCCGGGAGTTCTCCGCCTGAAGCTTCCCCTTCCATGCAGGCGAGTCAAGAGATATCTTCAAACCTCACCCACGCTCCCCCTCCACCCGCACCCCCTCTACTCGCACCCACTGAACCCACCTTGGCTCCAGTACACCGAACGTTCCCTGTTCATCCTCATCCTTCAGTAACACGAGTCCCTGATAACTACGGCCTCCAACAACAGCCTCGCGGAAATCACTCACAGGACTCGATTGGGGAATCTCAAGGAAATTTTATGCATGATTTAACAATTAATGGGCAGCTTCACCCAGCTGGATCTGCTTATTTTCCAGACCGTCATGATGGGGTTGCAGGTAGTATGACTTCATCTCATCCATTACAGGCTTATGATGATTTTCTAAGAGATCCACCACTCCGAGCCACAAGTTATATAGACGTTGGAGGAAGAGCAAGTAACGTATTTTATCGTGAAGACATTTTCATGGCAGAACCTTTGCCCAAGATTTCCGCAGTTTACTTGCCGAACAGAACACATTCTTAGGACCTCGCTGTCGCAATGTCCTTCCGATGCCGTGCTACATCCGGTGTTGTTAATCACGCCTGATACAAAGTGCTAACAAGCACGAGTTACTCAACTGACTCCATCAAAGGAATGAAGACGTTTTTCCTAATCTTTATTTTTAATTACGGAGTAATTGTTTTGATGGAATGTACATGAAAATAATTATAATTAAGTAACTAATCAACCCCCCAGTTAGGTTTCGGCGTTAGATGATAGATTAACTCTTAGGTAGAAAGAGTAATTTGGAATCATGAATGAATTTCATTTTGAGTTTTAAATGATTTGGGAGAAATATCTTTTTATATATAAGTTCCCGACCTTTAAAAGGTCTTAATAGGTATAATTAGAATTCCTGTTACATTCCTGGAATTGGAATTTTTTTCCACTTTAGGAATTATTTTCATTAATCATTATGTTTGTAAATTAGTGTTCTCAAAGTAAATCTTTGGTTGTTCATGTGTTGTTTACTGTCAAAAATAAATTATTTCTCTAATTACCAAAACCATTAATCCATTTAATCTACACATAATGATTGCAAATCATGATACCTGAGTTTTGACTTTTCCATTGGGGGAAAACCCCAGCACTTCGAGCGCTCTAAACAGGACGTACACGAAAGGCCCGATCTCATCACTCTATCTTGGAGGTGAGTCTAACGTTCTGCGAAAACCTGATGTTTGCAGTTGCCAGCTAGTGTTTTTTTTTACACAGTAAGGAACCCTAACGGGGGTTGAGGGGTGATGCAAGGGAGTACTCCTGCGGGTGTCGCAAATGCAGTCGCAGCGAAACGGCCTTCGGAGGAGGTGGTTGCGCGTTTGTGCGTTGGCTACAGTAACTGTGGGATAGAACTTTCTGACGAGCTCGCCATGCCTTTCTTTCGGTTCATGTAGAAAAATTTCGAACTCATTGACATATGATCGTTTTCCGGTTAGAAATCACACAGAGAGCCAGAATTTATGGGAATAAATTTTACAATTCACTGTGAGTGTGTGTTCGCAGAGAGACGTTATTTTGGCACTTTCATTCTGCATTATTTTAATAGGATTAAAGGAGTTTATCAGTTTTCTTTTATCTTTGAATTAGAATTTTTACAAAATAAGAAAAGCTTCTTTTAAAGACGACACTATCACGAAGTGTTAGTTGCAAAACTAGTCAATACGAGGACAAACTTGTTCCGTCATTCCTGTTCTAGCGGGGCTTTCCAATTTCCATTGTTAGAAAATTACAATTGATTACTTTCGATGTTCCTTATCTGTCCAAATCTAATTACTTTTATTTATTTCACCGCATTACAATAATTTACTATATTTCGAATGAATAAGATCTCACTTTTTTCGTTTTTATGATGACTACCTAATTATATTCTCAACTCCAATTAAGTAGAAATTTCTTAGCTCGAATTATATTCGGTCATTAAACATGGGTCGCAACTGTTACGTACGTCGACTCCTTCCTGTAGGAGAGATGGATTTCAAGAACGAAACTTGGGAAGAAATTTAACTTTAGGAAATCAGAAGTTTAGAGAGTCGGGATTTATATATTTTTTTATCGCTCGAACACATCACAATGAATTTGTGACCAGTATAAAATAATGATTGGCGGCGATTTAAGAACAGTGTGATAATAATTTATCATTGATGGTATGTATTAGCATGCAGCATTTCTAGTTAGGTGTAGTTACTAGCGTCCTAGTGAAGTGACGCGCTCTTCAACCTTGGAGGTTCCAGTGCCAGTTCCACAGCACTTGCTCTGTGCATCGCTCATTGAGAATAATGATGAGCGTTCGTTAGTGAACTTTGAGCCTGGAATGCGTGAAATAATTGACTTTGTATATATTTATGAACGTTATAACAATACATTTGTATCCAGTTGTTTCTAATGCAAAGTTTCTCTAATAATATTTCATCGTGTGCGAACCTAATGAGCGATTATCATGAAGATTTTGCAGAAATTTACATTTTACTTTATGTGTCATTCGTAGCGTGGCAATAGCTGAGAGTAATTATTTAAATCCATACAATAAAAGTCTTCGTAAACTTATTTAAATTCATAAAAAAAATGTTTTTTGCATGCAATACAACTCTATCGTTGTTTTTCAGTTTATATTACTGAGTAAACCTTTCTAAAATCAGAAATTAATTAAGTAAACACAGTAAAAAAGTGTTTGCATTTGCAACGGCGGCGAAAATCCAAATTACAGATTACAGATATCTATTCCAGAATACGGATATCCATTTCAGAATCCAGATATCTATTCCAGAATCATGGGACAAGAAAAAGGGATAGTCAATACAGGATTTACAGAGACAGAATCAAACGCACAATCCGCGTTTCGCAACGGTCATACCGATGTCATCAAAAATGGAAATACCCAGACTTACGGTACCGGAAGCGCCGTTAAAAGCCACGTCAAACAGGAACCAAAGCCAGATGACAACAATAGCAAATATACATGGGCATCTTTTAGAGAAGAGTTTAGAATAAACAAAGAGCTCCTGCCTGTGAAGTTTGCGATGTTGTGTTTCCATGGAGGTGAGTTCTTGGTTGGTTAAAACTTGGCACGCCATTATGCATTGTTTAAGCTAAAATATTTGTTTTTGTTTGCTCAATTTGCTAACTAACCGATAATTTAAAAGCAAAATGAACGCCAAATAAATTCAGCACATCTTTATTGAAGAAGTTTCGATGATTTAGTTGCTTGTCTTCGAGACGTTTGCAATGTGCATATTGAATTTTCTTGATATTTTTTTTTATTTAAATTCTTGCTTTACTTCAGTTGTGTTGTATATAAACGCCATCACTATTTTGCTATATGAGTTAATCTTCCAATTGAATTTAAAAAAAAATAAAATATCGCATTGTTATCTTTCTAAAAGAAATCTGAATTTATGCTCGTTTTAATGGTCAGGTTTTAATGTATAGAATTTGGTTTAAAACAACGGGTCTGCACGGGCGTCATCTCGAAAGTTTACAAATGCACCATAAAATGTCCTCTACGCGACAAACGTTCACTATTTACTACAACTATTTTTTATAAAACAATTCCTTCGCAAGCAATAAATTGACATTTGTTGTAGAAGTTATTGGGTTTGGTGCAGTTTCCTGTTAACCAATCTTTTAGTTTGGGAATTGAAAGATTGAATCGCTAGAAATTGTTTTTATTAAATTTTTGTTCAAATAAATCATGCATAGAGACTGCTTATGTGATGTTTATTCACTGGGAGAATGAATGTTTATATGGAATGATTCAACGTAGAACAGTGTTCAGACATCAGTGTTCATGTCTTGTCATGTCATGCCATTTCTTGCCTTGTCATGTCTTGTCTTGCATTGTTATGTCATGTCTTATCATGTCATGTCTTATCATGTCATTTCTTGTCTTGTCTTGTCATTTCTTGTCTTGTCATGTCATGTTTTATCTTGTCTTGTCATGTCTTTTCATGTCTTGTCATGTCTTATCATCTCTTGTCATGTCTTGTCATATTTTGTCATGTCCTGTAATGTCTTGTCATGTCTTGTCATGTCCTGTCATGTCTTGTGATGTCTTGCGATGTCATGTCTTATCATGTCTTGTCATGTCTTGTCATGTCATGGCAAGACATGACACTCCATTAGCCCAGTACAGCATGTATTTGAGATGGCTGGCGGTCACGCGTCTAGCCGCACCAATACTCACTTCGGAAAGAATTAGCCGCCGAAATATATTAATGTAGAACTAGCCGTTCAGCGGAACGGAACCCTTCGTAACAATTCTCGTTCACACCATTTGTTGTATCGCTCTTGGCCATGTGGAGGCCAAATCGTGCGCCATTGACTTTTCTACGAAAATGACCGAGCTACAGGAATGTGAAGTTCACGAGTAAGGTTGAACTCTGTGACGCATTACGCCTCCCATTTCTTTGTTGCCGGGTGACCGCGACCTCGCGCATGAAGACCATTTTCGTCTGATGTTAAATATCAAGCGCATACTATTCTAACAAAAACACATTTCTTGAGTCGCAATTTCGGTATAAAAAAATTAACTTCGATTGGTTCTCTACTGGCAAATTTGCTTTTTCATACTTAAAAAATAATTCATGCAACACATTTTTCCTAATGAGTAAAGAAAAGTAATTTTATAATTGCTGGCACTTGAGCCCGCAGTCGCACGAACTCAAAAATCTCTGCAATTTTATAATCCCGTTAATATGCCAACGTATGCTAGTTGGATAAAATCTCAAAACCCACATTTACATGGAAGATAGAAGTCCCATGGACTCTTGTTCAAAACCATTATGCGACTTTACAATTAAATTTTAAAATTGTAGTTTAGAAATCGAATTTATATTTTTTCTCGATTTTATTTTCTCACATCTTTGCAATTCTTGAATACCCATGCATGGTTCAATCGTGTGCATGATTTTCTCCTCCTATCCCCCTATTCCCTACCTCCTAATAGCAATCAGCTGTACAGCTAATTGCTTTTATAATTTTACCTGTTAATCATCATCAGGGGAAAAGATAAATTCTATCAATCCTTGATTTATTAGTGACTCTTCTTCTTCGGAAACTTCCGAGACGTACAATTAACTAAGCTTAATAATTCGCGAAAATTCGGTCGGTGGCAATGAGACGCCATTTCATAGGTTAGAACTATAATCTGTTAGATCTGCAATATAATCTGTTAGATCTACAATATAATCTATTAGATCTGCAATTGAAACCAGTCGATGTAACAGGTTCCCACGAAAGCATTGTTCATACGCGCAAGGTACAGCCGGGATTTGGGAGGTTAATGATGACAAATAACAGGGATCAACAGCTAGCTTACGTACGTATGTACTGTATGTCGGCAGCAGACCACAAATTGGAAAGTAACCGCCTGACTGTTTATCCAGCAACTGTCGTGCTGACAATGCCGGCTTTCCTATTTAAGGCTCAGGGATTATAATCGGAATCCCAGTTCCGTCAAAATTACAAGCTTTTCCTTTAACAAATAATGAATTGTTTTAATAGTAAGATAGTAATAAATAGTTCTAGGGTATAATATATTTAAGTCATCTATCGTTTGATCGTGTTCACAAGCAGAAATTTCTTGTGTTCAGTTTAAGACTATTGTAATAAGCTCAGTAATATTTTGTTTATTCTAGGGTATAATATATTTAAGTCTCCTAACGTTTGATCGTGTTCACAAGCAATATCGCCAGTGTTCAGTTTAAGATTATATTAATAAGCTCAGTAACTATTTTTGTAGCTTCTAAGGTATAATAAATTTAAGTCTCCTATCGTTTGATCATGTTCACAAGCAACATTGCTCGTATTCAGTTCAGGACTATAGTAATATGCCCAGTAAATTTTTCTTCTTCTAGGGTATATTATATTTAAGTCTCCTATCGTTCGATCGTGTTCACAAGCAGAAATTGTTTGTGTTCAGTTCAAGACTATAGTAATATGCCCAGTAATATTTTATTTATTCTAGGGTATAACATATTTAAGTCTCCATTCGTCTGATCGTGTTGATAAGCAAATATCGCTTGTGTTCAGATTAAGATAATATTAATATGCTCAATAACTTTTTGTATATTGAGAGGTATAATATATTTAAGTGTCCTATCGTTTGATCGTGTTCACGAGCAGAAATTGATTGTGTTCAGTTGAAAACTATAGTAATATGCTCAGTAACGTTTCGCTTATTCTAAAGTATAATATACTTCAACTCTCCTAACTTTTGATCGTGTTCACAAGCAATATCGCTTGTGTTCAGTTTAAGTTTATAGTAAAAAGCTCAGTAACTTATTCGTACAATCTATATATTTAAGTCTTCTTTCGTTTGATCTTCACAAGCAGAAATTGCTTGTGTTCAGTTCAAGACTATAGTAATATGCCCAGTCATTTTTTATTTCATCTAGGGTATAATATATTTAAGTCTCCTATCGTCTGATCGTGTTCACAAGCTATCGATAGGATAAGTAGAAGTGTTTTAAATTTCGATTACAAGATTTGTAGCAGAGAGACAGACAAACAGATAAGAAGTGAAGTTAAAGAGAAGTGTTGTAATAACTTGTATTCACTGTATTTAACCCGTACTATTTCGGTTAGGTTAATTGCAATAAAGTTGCATTGATGTGTTTTGAAAATGTTTTATTATCATTAAATGTTTACGAGTAAATCCCAATGGCAGAACAATAAATATTAGAGATTTCCTATAATTTTGGCCATTGTAGCGGCTAATGTAGCGGCGCTACATTTTACTGTAGCGGTAGCACCCGTTACAATCTAGTGGGTGTAGCGGTAGCGGTAGCGCCCGCTACATTTAGAGCATGTAGCGGTAGCGGCAGCGGCCCTACATTTCAAAGTAGCGCTTCCCAGCTCTGGTAATAATAGTAAGAACCGCATTCGCGGAACGCGGTTCTTGAACCGTATTTATACTTGGCACTTATAGCCAGGTTAACTTGATTGGATTTATCATATTGTTTCATTAACGTGCTCTTAAACTCTTACCTTTTATTAATTTGTGCATTATCTCTCCCATTGCGTTGCATAAATTTCCCATTTTCCTCGCCTCTGGTTAAATACTTTTTAAAATTTACATCGACATCAATTCTTTGCATGAAAATTAGTCGCCATTATTCACCAATGTTCGCTGTTCTTATCCTAAATTACGGTGTTGCTCAGGAGTGTTCGCGTTTCTGCCGTACGTGACGCTGCACATGAAGCAGATCGGCATGACTAACGAAGAGGTCGGACTCACATACGCCATCCTGCCCGTGTCGTCCATCCTCGGTCCTCTGATCAGCGGTGAGACGCCAACTCCACATCTTGTATAAAAATAATCGGTTATATTATTTAAATAGCAATAGACTTTATTACTCGCAACACAAACATAGAGTGTACGTAGTAGTGTTACGCCCAACTACTGGGCCAAACTGGGTACAGTAGTTGTTGTACAGTCGTTCTTACTCCCTCCCAAGGATCAATGCTTTCAAGTATTTCAATCTTTGGTTTAATTTGGTAATATCTACATCGATTTATTCTGGCAATTCTTGTTGGAAGGTATCAATGCATCGCAGCTAAATCTATATTGTAGATGATAGCTTTTCTAGTTTTATAGTAAAATTTTCAAAATTATTTGTGATGTCAGAAGCAGTACATTGTCTCTGCGACTGTAATACTTCTGTCAACTGTTTCAATTTGGTAAATTATACATTTTTCTTTCCACAGGAATAGTTGCCGACAAGCTGGCAGCGTTCAAAGCCGTCTTCCTCTTCAATGTAATCTGCGCGGCTTTGTTCCACACGCTCTTCGTTACGGTGAGTTCTAGTTCAGTTAATATATACTGTCCTGCGTCACTGAACTCACATTTTTATATACTAATTCGTATTATTCCCGGCGATGTTAAAAATTTCATGAAGATACTCATTGCTTAGGATAGAAGTTTAACTGTGAATACCTTTGCTAGGCTTGGTAACAGTTGAATATGTGTGTGTTTTACCGAGCGTGTTCACGAAGCATAATGTATCATAAACCCAGAGGTGGGCAGTAGCGCGCTACATGTAGCGGCCGCTACATTTTCAGTAGCGGTAGCGGCGCTACATTTAAGCAATTGTAGCGGTAGCGGTATACGCCCGCTACATATTTAAGTAGCGATACGAGGTTTTGCCTCTACAGCGCTACCGCTAAATTTATAGATAAAACCTTTAGATTTTACTTAATAGTATTAAATATTATTTAAAAACCAGCATGATACATACATAATATAAATTACAGAATAAAATGTACGAAATATTTCGGTGTAATGTTGTCAACCTCAGCCTGTTACTAGTGTCAACATGTTAGTTGTTAGTCCAGAGGTGGGCAGTAGCGCGCTACATGTAGCGGTAGCGGCGCTAAATTTAAGCAATTGTAGCGGTAGCGGCCCTACAATCTAGTGGGTGTAACGGCATCGGTGGCGCCCGCTACATTTAGAGCATGTAGCGGTAGCGGTAGCGGCCGCTACATTTCAAAGTAGTTCGGATTTTTCTAATATTGAATAAATATAAAACCGTGTTTCAAAGAAATAAATTGTCTACATTCATGGCTATATCAGCCTTCACATCGCGCTTTATCTGTATTAGTACTTCATTTTACCATTAGTTGTTTGCGGGACGCGTCTATTAGATCGTTTCCTGCTTCGAACTCACTGTGGCTCTTACACATCCTTTTTTTTCTTACATACCCACGTTGACCGATTTGTTTACTATTCCGACAGGAATAGCATTAGATGTCTTTATATTTATAATGACCGCCTAATGTTCTGAGTTCGTGCAGTGTAGGGTTTGGCGTTTGTTTCGCGAACATTTAATTAGCCTTTTCCGACCGCTGATTGCATAGAAGTCTTAAACCTGTTGCTTAAAAATTGTTTCAACCGCGCTCCAGGTTATGCGTGTGAAGTTTGGCTTCTTGATTTAGGATTTCAGTTGTGACGTTTATTTTTTTCGCAGAATAATCTGAAATATATTCCCATGTGCCTTTTTTTTAAATTTCGTTCTAAAACATGTGCAAGCTTAGTTGGCAGGGAACAATGAGGATAAATCTGATTCTCTGTTAAACAAGTTATACGCATAAATACCTGAATACAGTGGCCTTAAGTATTACAAATTCTATAGAAGGAGTAATTTTAATCAAAAATGTGAAAATATTATATTTTGTTTTACGGACGATCCGGTTGATAGTAATTCTCGGGAAACGAATCGCGTACGTTATACACTGATACATAAGTCTACCCAGTGTAGACACCCCGAAAAGAAGAAGAAGAATACACTGATACAGTCGCATCAGTACTAGTACGGTATGCCCAGTTAACAAGAATATTCGTGGTTATTAGGACCCAAATGATGGCGTCCAGTTACCAGAAATTAACTGAATAACTGAGCAATCGCGTCTCGCTGCATTTTTTGTCAATTATTTTTATTTTGACCTTGCCAAGTCTTAGCATGTTGAGATGCAGCAATGATTTGCTCCTTCCGCCCCCTCAGGTCCCCTATGCTCCTCATCCCCCCAGCCTCAGCTTTTCCTGTGGGGGGCAAGGGGGGCAGCTTGCATGGTCTCCCCCATCCTGTCACATTCCGAGTCAGTCAAGCAGCGAAATTACCTGGCAAGACATGAATGTAACTTTAAAGGTGAGTTCTTATAAAATAGGTATAAAGTTTTGGTCACCAAAAAAGTCTAGTATCACGATCGCGAGAGTTAATTGGTAGTTAGTGGGCTTGTGTTTTGTGTAACTATCGACAAGTGAAGGAGAGATGACCTGTTTCATATATGTTCGATTCGTGGAAAGTTGAATCAGTTATGATTGTGTTCAATTTAACAATTAACAAGTTAGGAGAGGTGACTTGCATGTTACATTCATTGTTACCTTATTAATAGGATCGTTTTCTGTCTAAAGCACGATCCGCACGTTTAAATTTATCGTCATTCTTGTATGATCAGTTGATCATGCAAAGTTTGATTCCCTTGGCTTAAGACTGATGGGCGTCCACATGATTCAGAATTTTGTTCAGTTTAATGCTCCCTCAACAACGTAAGACCTTATGTTGATCGTTGTGATCACAATTTGTGCAAACAAATTAAATTTAAAGGATATAGACGTGGTTACTTTAGAGGAGAAAAATTTTCGAGAGAGTCTTCTACGGGACTAACAATGCGAACCATCACATTGGTGTAATTTACTCACGTATGGGCATAGAAATTTAAGGTGAATTGTTAGAAGTTGTAGCATCATTCAATCAACAAACGACACTAAAGTGAGGACTTCGATCAGACCCCACGAACAACTCTCAGCTACTCAGAGATTTTTGGCCACCGGATGAAGTTACTTGGACCTGTAATTCGCAGCTACAATTTTCAGACAAGTTTATAGTAAAATAATACCGGAGAACTGCAAGGCCATGTACAAAGTTCAAGTATAGAACACTTCAATATAAATAATATGAGTCAATTTTTATACAGTCAATATTTTAGTTAGGCACATTCTTTCCGATAAACCGTACGAATTAATTAACTTTATTTGTTACGAATTCTTTCTTACTTTTAGGATTTATTTCCTTTCACTTCTCGAAGTCGCATCGGTTAGACTTTGTGTTTTGGTCCTGTAGCCTTGCGATTTAAGTTGACACCGGCAAAAACTACGATATAGGTATTTATGAACTCGCTAAATAAATCGTGTGTCCCGTGTCGTACATGTTGGGATGTTATTTCCTCGCGCAAAACTAGGGCTAGCAATGCGCAATGTCATGGCTCTCAACCACAAAACAGACAAAGAGGGAGAAGTTTGGCTGATTAGTCGGCTGCCGTCCACACGATCAACATTGTCGTCAGTCTTGCATGAACCCGAAGGTCTCGCCCATCTGTCTTTTACAGGTTTGTCAAACATCAAACTGTCGTGTAACGGTGTAACTGTAAGACGCCGAACTTAGCGTCAACACGCACAGTCTTGTCTGTCAAGCTTGACATTCAAGACTGACGATTTTAAACGGATGGACCGGGCTCAAAAGTTAACCAGTAAAGGGGAGTAACCTAATCAATGAACGCGCTTGTGAAATACGTTGATCGTGAGCCGTTTGAACAGTAGTATCATCTATTGAAAATAAACTTGAGATATACCTGAAATTGAACTGGATCGCAATACTGGATTAATATTACCAGAATTACTAGAAGAATTATGACCATTGAACGTATATGATAACTAAAACCACTAGTTTACGCTGAGGGATTAACATTGCCCATTTATTTCTAAGCATTTTACATTTAATTTTGAATTGGATTTCAATTATGAAAATGGTGAATTGAATTCTGACATTCAATTCACATAATTTAATTCAATCGCCGATTTGTACGCCGTGATCGGAAATTAGTCTAATTAGTTTGCCAGAGTATGATTAGTTGTAGACATTCGATGCCTAAATGAAGTAAGGTCCAGCAGCAGCAACGCGTTACTTGCCAGCGGGGTAATTACGCCACAATATCGCGGTAGCGAGTAAACTAGAGATTTGAAATTTTTACATTAAATCTAAATTTTATCTAATTTAATCTAGTGAATCTAAGTACAAACACTCTATTTACATTGTATCGCGAGTCTCGTGGACACTTTGACTAAGTGAGCCAGTGTAATTTTTTTTTTGTAATTTGGACTGTTGTGCTCTATACTTTACTTTTCTTTTCCAGAATTGCAAGCGAAGTTGCCAGACGCAGGAAGTTGGATCAAACAGTGAAGCGTTCTGTCTTGTACGGGCCAACGAATCTGTCTGTTTCGAACACTCATTGAACACATCGGTAACTAAATATTGGATACATTATTGGATGCATTAAATATTGATACATTTCCTAAATATTGGATACATTAGTTCTATGTAATAATGTTCGATCCGAATATTATCTTCTGACGCGATTCTTAGTGCTTTGAAAAGTCAGTCTTGAATATAAAGACTCCATTGTTTAGTGTGGAACTTTGCGTATTATGATTGCGATTTTATTATGTATCAATCAACCTGTTTTGACTTTGCATTGCAACAGTATAAAAATGTAAGGGCTGATGATTGTTTCGAACATATATCCTATACATCGCTTAATTATCTATATTTTGATAAATAAAATATACCACTTGTAGGTTATAGCGCACAGCACTAAACATCTGCATTTTAACAGCTGGAGCTTACAATGAGCATCGGGTCCTCGTCTTCCAACACGTCATTGTCATCCAACACGTCACTGGTCTCCCCAGGGGCAGCTGCTCCACCTACTTGCTATAACGAGGCGCCCCCCTCATTAGGGGATCTCCACTTCGAGGGGAAGACTTATGAGCGCTTCAGCTGTACCCCGGTGTGCACTTTAGAGTGCAGCGTCGAGGGGGGACCTAAGCCCCAGCACTTCCATGCTAAGCAATACTCGACGACCTTCTGGGTGTACCTCGCCCTCAGGATGCCGGGGCAGTTCTTCTTGGCCGCCGCCATGACGATGATGGTGGGTTATTTTGAATACTTTGAATTTTTTACTCTTAATGAAATAAATTTGACATTGAAATGGATTTCTTATGGATCTAAATCAAAACTTGGGATCGTTTTTGAACTGTATAAAGATCGTGTGACTAACATGTTCATGTTGTGTGTCACGATCGCTTCATTTTATTTTCTGCGAATTCATTTTCATTTACCTCATAATATGCGTATTTATCAAAATCATTTGATTGCACAAAACATGAATAGACAATAAATGAAAAACTGAGAAAATTCTAAGCAATTTCACTTTATTCGTACTCAAGCGTATAACTAACAAATTATTCTGTTGATTTTTAATTCATAGCTATAGCCTGATGGTGTGGACGGATGACGTAAAATGTTTTAACGAAAGTTTGGTGTAGAAAACTGATGAAGAAGAAAGTATTTCGTAGAATGAATAATGAATCATCATGTCGCAGGATGCCCTCACGATGGCCGTGATAGCGAACAGGGGCGGGGACTTCGGCAAGCAGAGGCTCATGTCGATGCTGAGCCTGGCGTTGATGCCCTTCATCTCGTCCGCCATCGTCACTAACGTGCCCACTGATAACGGTCAGTCGTGGCACCCGCTTGTGTATTGCCTTTTGATGCAAAATATCTGCAATAATACTGGTACATTATGACGTTCTTAAATGATGTCTTGATACCATGATTCTCGCTGATTTATATGTTCGTTATTCACAAGAGAAATATGTGTAACAATACAAATATTCTTCGACATTCCTTAATGGTGTGTTTATCTCATGACTCACATTGACTTAAATTTTATTCATCCACCAGAAAAAAACTCCTAGAACAAACAAGTTTTTGTTGATAATTCAAAATGATGTATTAACCCCACGAGTCTAGCCGACTCATTTATTATTTATTCGCCAGAGAAATATCTGCCGAAACACTAGTATTATTCGCTATATTTTCACAGTCACCCCTCACATTGCGCAGGTTCCCCGGACTACACAGTCGCCTTCTACTTCGGCGACGCGCTGCTCGTGGTTGCCGTCATCATCACCGCCTGTATCAAGCTCGAGGTCGGAGCTTCAGCGCATTTACTCAAATATTTAGTGTTGCTTAGCATTGTGTGTTTGTGTGTTGATATATATTGGGTGTTGATAAATTTACGTAATCCATATAATTAGAATATAAATGTCTAGTGTGTAAAAATGGGAACACAAATTCAAGGTCCATCTAATATTTATAATTTTGTATACTTTTTACTGCTAACAGGAGGGAGAAGTCAAGATAACAGTTTTTTTTACTTTACCAGTGAAATTTATGCATAATTATCAGTATCGCTGCGAATGAATATGCAATAAACGGTTTTCTTACGTGCAGCGCCCGGACAGCTCGTCGCAGAACGTCTTCCAGGACCTGAAGCAACTGATGAAGAAGGCGGACATCCTCGTGTTCCTGGCGGTGATCCTCGTGCTGGGGTCCAACTGGGGCTTCCTTGAGAGCTTCTTCTTCGTCTATCTCAGCGAACTGAAGGCTCCAGCCTACCTGCTTGGTACGGTCGCTAAATATTTAACTGCTTGAAATACTTCGTTTTAATGATGATATAAACTATAAAGCAACAATTTAACAAAATGAAGTATCAAAGTACTTCATTAATTACATACTTCTAACTAGGTTTTTGTGACATTTATCTACAGTCTCAAGTATAAACGAGACTCTAACAGTTACTCATGGTTTAATTCTTTAATTACAGATAAATTAAGCTGTTCTAATGTTATTCGTAACTGAAAACAGAATATCTCATGGCCGTTCTAAAAAAAATACATATATTTTTAGTCTTCAAAACTGAACTTGTTGCTACAGACTTTATTTTTGGCACAATCTGGGAATATATAAGCAACTTTACGCTACTTTATATTACTGACAACTATGCATTACTAATATATAACTACTATATATTAATAACAACTTTAATGGACTCATTACACAAGAATTGTCTCGCCCATCTGATCGCAGGCTTGACCCTGACATTTGGTTGTCTGGTCGGCTTGCCCGCGATGTTTCTGTCTAACCGCATCATCGACTGCGTGGGCCGCGCTAACATATTCATCCTCAGCTTCGTTGCCTACAGCGTCAGGATGTTCGGCTACTCCATAATCTCGTGAGATTATAATAAACGCCGTATAGTTATATTTTTTCAGCTGCACAGACATTTTCACTTGGGTTTCTTTCTTGAAGTTCCGGATCTGATTCAGTTGCCTAAAAACGATGTAATCTCTAACCTATGTCTAACCCACTCGTATGTCGAAATGACCCCGACACACACCTAAAAAGCATCTTGGACAAAAGAGAATACGGTTATTATAATGTCGATCGACTTATATAGCGGTTTCAGCGTTTATTAGGCCGTATGCCTGTCGCCTTTTCTTAACATTGCAGAATATGCACAGCTTGTTGCGGGCTTAAACTAGCAACTCACTGCTTCAAATTTTCTTTGCTTAACCGCCCGGCCTCCTTGCCGATTCTGACCAGAAACTGTCGCACAGAACTGGGATCGAACCCGCACCTCTCTGCTCCAATCTTGGTACTCTGAACTTTAACCACATTATTTATCCAACAGATAAATAATGTGGTATCCACCCTGCCCGTAGAATAATACCTGAGGGTATAAATGTGTTCGACAGTATATAACCCGGCAGGTGATGTACCCCAATCTCAGCTCATTATGCCCAACGCGACATGCGGCGCGAGATAGCTCGATCTGAAGCGCTGGCAACTAAGGCCACTACAACAAACAAACATGCTATCCCTACCGTTAGAGCGAGTGGGTAAATTTAAGACCTTACGTTCGGGACCGAATTTAGATCTCGTTGACTGAATATTCAAAGGGTTATAAATAACTGACAATCGTGGGCTTCAGGAACCCATGGATGAGCTTCCCGTTCGAGGCACTCGAAATAATCACGTACCAGCTGATGTGGGTCGCCGCGGTCACCTACTTCCCCATCTTGGCGCCTCCCACCCTCCTCGCCACCATGTCGGGGCTGTCGGGTACCCTGCACTATAACGTCGGTACGTATGCGTCAGGAGCTTCACTATAGTAACGACTTCACACGTCTAATTAAGATCTTTGTCTCAGATTGAATGAAAAATATTCTACAGGATAGTATATAAATATACCGATTGGTGCACATAAATGATTATCAACAATTTCGACTTCGACCACTATTTGTCATGAATGGTTTCCTTTCCATTACAATTACCTTATTAATTGTAGCGGAAATGGCGTTCCTGTTTTGTAAATAACCGAAAAATATTACGCCTTTAAAAGATGGATTGGATTTTTGTGGCTTAGGTTTTTCGTAATATTTTCCAGGCCGAGGAGTCGGTGCATTAATGGGAGGCAATTTAATTGGGAAAATCGGATCAGTGAACACTTTCCGAGTTTTTGGTGTCATCTCTTTAGTGAGCGGCATCATCTACACTTTCGTGCACTACTTCTTCTTTGCAGGAAAAGTCAAAGATGAAGGTGAGTAATAAGTGGTAAGCCTTGCTTTATTTCAACTATAAATCAAAGCTGGTCTTAATTGTGTGGGAAAATTACGGAGATACCAGAATTGTACATGGAAAAGTGAATAAAATTGTACGCAGATTTAAGAACATCAAAGCATCTCCTGTATTTAGGTGAACAAAAAGGGCTAAAATCTTTCAAACCCTGATTTGTTACAATGTAATGTATTTTTCAGAAAAAAAGCAGAAGGAGGTTGTGGAACTCAAGACGGACTCTAAGAAACAAGAGGCTGGACTGCCGTGAATAATTATACTCTAATATATACATAATTTTTCAATCAGATCTCTGTCCACAGTGAGAATCTCGCTAGTTTAGAGAATTACTATGTCTGATCTTGGCAACTTCTATTTTTAATAATAAGCCTGGGATACAAATCATACATATTTTAACATTTGCTTCCACGAGCCAAAATTATCTTTCAATATTAACGAACTCTAGCTTTACTATAATTTTAGGAACGTTTTATTTTCGAAAAATATCACGAACTAAAAATAAATTTTTATTGTCAACAAGTGGATGGAAGCAAGGAATACATGAAGTGGTCACCAGATATTCAATGCAATGGCTTTTTTCTACAAGATGAATTGATCTCGACTAATTACGCTAGAATGTATAAACTTTCCGAACGGTTTAACGACATCGCAGGTCATGGTCAGGACAAAAAGTTGCGCAAGAAATATTTTTGCGGCGTTAGTAAATATTTTTGCGGGATTAGTGAGTACTAATGTGCTGTCTAAGTACTACAAATTAGCCTGGACTTGTTCAAAAGAAGAACGTTCAAATTACAGACAAGTTCACATGTATGGTATAATTTTACGAAGAGACGTGATTACTTATCATTTAAGTGTATTTATTAATAAGGCTTAATTATCACAGAAAAATAACTATGTTAATTGACATTTAAATCCTATCGCTCATATGACTAGATTAGTGACTCGAAAGGCAGCACGTGCCCACATTTCCTTTCATATCATGTAGCGTTACTTTTATGATGAGATATTGAACAAATACAATAGCTAAATATAATGTTAACAAAGATTATACTGCACGCTTCACTAGTTCATCGTGCGTAATGAGGACCAGTGGCGATTGAAAAATCGTTTCATTCCTTCAGTGTTGACACTTGAACATTATGTGCGTATATAAGGCACAGATAAGTGTACGTAGACATGAACCTGGATCATATAAACCTAGAAATTGGTAATAGAAATTAGCCATGACTTTCTCGACTAGTGAGATCGTGACAAACCAGCCATACCCACATTGGCAAAATATTTTTGGTTGGCACCTTGTGCGTACATTGAAAAGTCAAACTCTCTGAGTTCTCTTAAAGGACGATAATAAATTTGTACCACGGATATAGCCTTCGTCCTCCTGATACGAATCATCGATTATTAATGGCATACAACGGACTATGAAGGCGGTTATAACTAAAGTTGCTGTAGCTAGTTATAAACATGTCCTAAAAATAAACTTTCTACTTTAAAGTCGTCATATTTCATTCTAACAAGCCGGTATGAAGCGCGCGTTTTGAATATTGCAAAAGATCCCTTGCCTTCTGTTAATATGCGGACAATCTTCGCGCCACAATTCTTAAAATTTCGCGTTTTAATGGGTATTCCAACAATACGCGATGAACGGAAACGACAATAAATGAAGCGCTATGGATTGCAAAGGTATTACTTTATTCTAAAGTACACTTTTTCAAATTAAAATTGTAACTTAATTACCCTTTCGAAAAATTAAACTCAGCCAAACTCATCAGAATATAAACGCTTTCCTCCCACCTCCCAACAAATTCCCCACAAATGCTCCAACCTTGAAACAAAGCTTGGCCAAACAATGAAAAGTATCCATTAAATGATTTTCAAGACTCTGAAATTTGCAGTGAAGTATCCATGAGGTGAGCGAGTTCTAGGGACTGAGGAGGTGACGCGGGTTGTTCGGTGGCCCACTTCCTGACAAGGGGTGGTAAGCTCAGCACACAGAACTGCCCACCGCCTTTGCCCACTACCACCAGCCGCTCGCCTGAGGGGTGCCATCTGAGAACAAGTTCAAACTAAGTGACTGAGGGACTGGCAGCCATGTAATAAAGATTAAGATGCTTAAAATGGTTGCATAAAGATTATGATCAATGAAAGACAGAAAATTTGCTCGAAAGACATTAAGCAACGTGGCAGCTCTGACTGACTTGGCAGCACTTACTCACTTGGCAGCACTGACTCACTTGGCAGCACTGACTCACTTGGCAGCACTGACTCACTTGGCAGCACTGACTTACTTGGCAGCACTGACTCACTTGGCAGCACTGATTCACTTGGCAGCACTGACTAACTTGGCAGCACTGACTCACTTGGCAGCACTGACTCACTTGGCAGCACTGACTTACTTGGCAGCACTGACTCACTTGGCAGCACTGACTAACTTGGCAGTACTGACTCACTTGGCAGCACTGACTCACTTGGCAGCGTTGTCTCACCTTACAGCAGTAGGCAGGATGCGCAGCTGCTGCGGCAGCGGCACGGTCAGGCTGCCGTACGGCGTCCACATGAAAACTGCGTCCTCTCCCGTCGTGATGACCAACCGCGCCTGACGCGGACTCCACGAAACATCTACAAGGAAAATATCAGCGATCACTGAATAAATGGGAGAAAATAGTCAATATTTTGATGGATGAGCAACTAGATAAAAAGTACAGATACGTGTGGACGTGCTGGAAGCATGCTTTGAAACGTAGGTTCTTGACTCGCTGAAATAGCGGTCATTTTCTGTTGATTAAACGACTTCCTCGGATATATACTTCAACAACCAAATTACTGTCGCCTAAACTTTGCAATCAAAAGAAAAAAATTATGTATGTTAGTCAATATGTACAAGTAACTAATCCTTGCACTTGCATAATCCTGTCAGACAAAAAGTTATGTAACTAGATAGTTCAAAGTAACTAAAACTTGCACATATATAATCCTTGCGAGCAAAAAAGTTATGTAAATAACTAAATAGTTGAAAGTAACTAATCCTTGCAGGCAAGTAGAAGTACAAAATATACGTGCCCTGCACGTGCATCTCGTGCACAAGCAGCGCTATGAGCTCGAGACGAGGCAGGCGCCACACCCAGACGACGCAGGGCAGTTGGCGTACGCACGTCGCAGCGTACAGACCATCGCAGCTCAGCAGCACGACACTCACGCCACCGCTGCATCCTGCATCGTTATCAACAGCCCATAATTCAAGCAACAATTACTTTATTACCGTGTTAATCTAATCCATTGATAAACGTACTCGACAATGCAACATCAACTGATAGATCAAACACTTGATACATTATTTACAGTAACATTTCACTTAGTACCTATATATTTACAGTAAAAATTACAAACACATTCAAAACACGTACGTAGTGCAGTGATGGTTTGACTCAACACGTCAATATAGAGTAATTGTACCGCGTTAATATAGGTACATATAATCTTGCACCTACCGCCCGCCTCGATGTTGCTTATGAAGCCTTGCCCGTCTGACCGATGGCATGGGTGGCCTCCCGGGCTTACGTTCTTGACACACGAGAAGGCGCCCTTGAGAGGCTCGTTCCTCTGGGGGTACAGCTGAACGGGGCGCTGGACGACCTCAGAATCTGTGGTGAAGGAATAAGGTAGCATTGGTATAGTTAGGCAGATGAAGAGTTGTTAGACACTTTAATTTAACAGGAATGAATGAATGTGTTCAGAAAACAGAAGGAATTGGTCTTCGCGAGGAATAGGAGTTAAGTGTTGTAAAACCTGCAATTACTTGTAAATGAAGATTGTATATTCGAAATGTCTGAATCTATTAAAACACCTTTTGGCAGCCTGATTTATGATCAGCCAACACCAGCAAGATAGGTACATTGTTCGATTGAAAGAAAAACAACAAGAAAATTGTTCATAGGAAGCCTTCTGTTCTATGATCATAGTTGGCATAAACACCTGGTAAAGAAGAACTCGAAGAAGTAATTCAAACAATGTACAAATATAACTCAGTACTCACTGCAGTGAGTGACAGAGAGCGCATTTTCTCGTCGACGAAAACGAATTCACGGACAGACGGACGGACATGACGAGCACAATAGGGCATTTTTTCCATAAATGAGAAAATGCGGTAAAAAGGACTACATTGATTGCTATAACCAAACAAGATTTTAACAGTTTATGAAGTATTTGTTCAATAAATTCAAGTCCAGGAACTTCAAGTTATTTCGATGAAAATAGCACACACATAATAAATATGATAGAATGTGTTTACGGGCAGATTCTAGTTTTGGGCCGAAGTTCTCACCTGCTGATCTACACTCAATCACATAATTATCTTGATAAGAATATTATGGGAGTTGACACTCACAGATTTTATTCGAGACTCCGCTGGCTGAAACCTCTTCCACCACGCGGAAGACTCGCGTTCGAAGCTCCAGAGCCGATGATCCTGTTTTCTCTTGGTCGATTTTTTCGATCATGGGCGAGTGCAGCTGCTCGTCCAAAATTTCCCAAGTTCTGTGGCACATGACGCGCAACTGATCATGAAAAGAATATCAATACAATACAACACCAACCAATAGCTATGTAGTCGGAAAATCAATATAGCTGGAAGTCAAAAATAATGTTGGTTGAATATACCCAACTTCTACAGATAAATAAAAAATCAGTCACAATAAGCATGAATCGTGGGAAGATTATGAAAATTTTAAATGTGAAATATTATCATACATCACGTATATTGAACTAAAAATAAGCTGAAAAAATTTAACCCTAAAAAAATTGAAATAACTCATCGTTTATTACAAACACTCAAGGAACTATCACAGCGATATATGAACAAATGCCTGGGTCATCTCACATTAAAAAAATTGCAGTTACTTCAAATGGAGAGATATCGTTCAGGTTTTAGCTAGTGAAGAAAAGATAAAACAAGAAGAAAAGACAAAACAAGAAGAAAAGATAGGTATAAGCAGAAGAAAACGTATAACGGTCAGAATTATATTCCGTAAAAAAAACATTACTTGGTATTAATACCTCGAGATAAATCATTGATATTGAGCTGTTTATGTTAATAACGTAGGCGGTGCATTCATACTAATAAACCATAATGTTATTGCGAACAATTTCTATACATTTACTTGCTATAGAGATTATCGGTTTAAAATAGATTCGCTCTTACGTTAATATTGATCTCGATTTTTAACGAGCTTTAACCAGTACAGGCGCCCAACTCACTTTTGTATCCTGGCTACCGATGATGAGATGGTATCCAGATGGTGTCCAGCACACCACCCGCACACCGAGGCCATAAGGCTCAGCTCCTTTCACAGTAGTTAGCACCCTGACGAATTAATGCGATGCTCTAAAAAGTTTAAGTGATGCCCTAATAAATAAAAGTGATGAACAATATCAACATATAATGCAGGAAATATCCACTGAATATTTTATCATCACATTTTCCAAATTCATTCAGCACCCTAACAATATAGAGTGATGCAAGTATCACACATATTATGGTTAATATTGTTTGTACAGTATTCAGACCGTATGAGATTAGTCAAAAATTAAAGAATATTTCGAGTTCCAGTGACTCCTAAACTTAATTAACATCCTCATTTCAATACTAAATGAGAAAAAATTACACCTTTAAAATTTTATCAATGAATACGTTACAAAAATTCTAATGCAATGCACACATATATTCATATCAGAATATATTTACTCTCCTTGCTCCTAGAAAACTCAGAGGTACTTGTATTATAAGATAGGCTTAACCACGATATAAAGACTTTCCACTATTTTCACGATAAAAACTGCTAATTATGCGCGAACATTTAATCTTTCATGGACAAGCTTTATGATACATAAGTACTCTAACAAGCCAAAATTAGTTCCAATAATAATTTATACACCCACATTTTCATCCAACCCTTTGCAAGCAAAATTTATAGCAAAATAATCGAAAAGGCAACTGATCTGATATGCTGGCAACCATGTAAGCAGCCTGGCACACGCGTGACTATTACCTTGTTGACCTTTTCTATGGAGTTGTTCTCTACCCCAGTATATACATACATACATATTACATAAGGTATTGAACAAAATGTTTAACTATATTACTCAATTAGAATGAACAGAGTTTAAGAAATGTCTCATTTGTCCCTATACTGACGTAACAATACGGCATCCGGGCACGGCTGAGGCGGTACCTGCCACAGAGAGCATAGAGCGTGACGTTGTAGCAGAGCACGCTGTCCCACACTACTGGGAACTGCTGTTGAATAATATCACACTCAGTAACCATGCTAGTCCCGCCATGTCTGAGCAGCTTACTGGGAACTGCTGCTGGATAATATCAGATTCAGTAACCATGCTAATCCCGCCATGTCTGAGCAGCTTACTGGCAACTGCTGCTGGATAATATCACACTCAGTAACCATGCTAGTCCCGCCATGTCTGAGCAGCTTACTGAGAACTGCTGCTGGATAATATCAGATTCAGTAGAAAACACTGCATTTTTGTCACCGGTAACATCAATAGGATTTACTTACATGTAATAACAATACACCCTTCTACGTCTTCTGGTGTAAGTTACGTGCTACATCAAGATAGGAACACGCACAATTACGCTCGTAACAACATAGGTTATCTCTCAACTTACAGCAAACTCTAAACATTTGAAGAAGAATGTAAAAAAGTATTTTTTCCTCTGTAAAAACGTGTCTAAAAATGCTTCATTATCGAAATATCATTTCGTTAATATTCAAGGATTTTGGGGGCCTTTTTTTACTTCCTGTAATTTGAAGACTTGCTTATTACAGCAATATTTGATGGTATTTCTAGCTTTATTACACTATCCATCATGCAAATTTAGTACAGAAGGAAAATTAAAATAACTGTTCAAAATGAATGTTCCCTAAGCCAATTAATGTTCTCTATCAAAGCCCATCTAGAACTTACACAAATGCAAATCTCAAAATGCAAACATGACCGAACATTTATCAACAAGTTTTGCATCGTCACTATCCTACAGTGAGATCCAGCGCTCTCTGAAGCTTCACAAATACAGCTCTCCATTTGTTCCCATTAATAAATAGTACTTAGATGACACACCTTGAGACCTCGCTGGCCATGACACTAGGTCAAAGCAACCAACTCATCTATTTGGATAATATTATATAATATATAATATAATGAATATAATATAATGTAACCATATTAGCTATATAATATCAAATAGCACTTCATCCAGTGGCTCAATCAAAACCTCCCATAAGAATACTTCAGAGATATCGAAATTAGACGCTGAGGCAGCACATATGACCCAACTGCTAACAACAATACAAGCCCATTCATTTACACTGAACCCGGGTGAGGAATTTCACTCTTCCACAGGTATTGTGTCAAACACACTGTCATGAGTGACACTTGTTTGATCAATGATCAGTGATGAGTACATACACATACTGTTGATACTTATTATCTTCAATATTCTAATGCCAATGTTCTACACATCGGGTACATACCATTATAAACTAAGTTCCCCATACCAGTGAATAGGTGACAGATATAAGACATTTGCCAAGGCTTGAATATAACTCGTAAGCGAGGTGAGTGTACCTACAACAAAACAAATGCTACAGTTTGGCGGTTAATCTACACTGCATTAAATAAGAACTCATTTAAAAAAAAAAAACATCTGAATACCGACAAGCAGAGTTCTGGCGTTGCCATCCGTCAAATGGTTTACTGTCATTTAAACACACACTATGTTGTCAGCACAATATTCAAATTGTTGAAACTGTTTACTGACAGGTGAATGAAATGCAGCCATAATTAAAAGGCCTTTTGAATTGATAAAAGAATACATTTTGAATAGAGCTTTAAAAAATGATTTATTCGATATCTTGATAATGACATATTTTTAGATAACTTATGCATTACTGATGAAAAAAAATGTTATTTTAGGGCCCCATGCATGTTGTCAAAGTTGGTATTATGGGCTAAAGAAAATATTTTATACAAAAAAATGATGATTAATGATTATCTTCATGCAATTATAGACAATTTAGAACAAATGCAACAAGAGAATCACCGTTGGGCTCTGCTGCAACCATACATACTGGTTTACAAACCTTGACTGTATTCCAAGTGCGAGTCTCCAGGATGGTAAGATAGTCTTTACACTCAATGCGCTCTGCTGCAGCGAGGTAAGAACCATCACAGCTAAATTGGAAGCTAGGATTGCATTCTTTAGGATTTTTGATGATGGCGATACTTTGATTGAGCAGGGACCAAATTGTTGAGCGCACCTGAAAAGAAAAACTCATGATCAAATAATGGCTCTAATATTATATAGTTACAATTTTAAAATTTTCCAGCAGCTTTCCAAATTATTCAAATAAATATACATAGGATGATATCAAAGGGGTTTTCAAATAATTAGATACACTTTTGGCCACAAGAAAAGCATAAGCACAAATATCAATAAAAACAAATGTTCAGTACAACTTAATACGGTATAGCTAAAAACTAAAAATAATTAAAAAACATCAGACTAAGACTAGACACATTAAATAATCATTGAGATGTCATATGATAAAAATCACAAAATCTTACATAAAAAAGATCTGTAGTGATGATGTGCCGGCTATCAGGTGCCCATGCAGCACACTCAAGTCCTGCAGAGCCAAGTTCAATCTTACATTGCCAGTCAGGATCAGTAATGTTCCACACCTCCACAGCAGCTTGAGACACAAATGAAGAGAGGGTTTTTTTACCAGAGCCTGCTGATATGGAGCCTGTCATGATGAGAGAAGAGTCAGGAGACCACTGCAGCAGCTGCAAGAAAATTGCATGATATGAATACAAGTGAAAATATATGTACATTTATATATATAAATGCAGACTGTGCAGTACAAGAAAACTTGTCCAAAGTTCACAAGTAAAGCATTTATATTTAGTTAATTGTAACACTAAAGGCAACAAAAAAGGTTATTTGAACATTTGAAAATACAATGAGGTATTACTCAAAATAATGAGAGTGCTGTTGAACTGACACAAAATTTAACATTAAGGTGATAACCTACCTTGACTGCTTTGTAGCAAGTGAATGTCACCAAAAGTGAGCTAGCAGAATGACCATCCTTGATGTAAACTTTGTTTTTGTCAGGGATGGCTAAATATTGTCCATTTGGGGACCAAGCCACTAGGTTTGCTGCACTTGAAGAAAAACCTAAACTAAAATTCATGTTAATTTTTCAAAATCACCATCTGCACTTCTGAAAACAATGTGAGAAACAATAAATCACAAGTTATGGGGTTAATTTAGCTAGATTAGGACAAGAGGGTTAGCTATAATTTTAGTACGGTATGTTGAAACCTAATAAGGAATTTGTGTGACAATGACACCTACTATACCCAGGAAACGTAGAATTCTCCTAAATTTCTTCTCACAACTACTCAGAACATACGTATATATTCTCTACCTAAACTCTCCACGTATGACAATAAAATAAATTTTCAAGAAAGCAAACACGGCAACTGATTACTGAAGCATTGATTCGATTTGCATATACTGTCAAACAGGGTAATAAGGGACGGATTTGCAAGTTTTTTGTGAATAACTTCTTACCATGAAACGTTTCATAAATGAGTTTAGGCTCATTTTAAAGGTCTTTGCAAGGGCTATCATATGGAATCTCCAAAAAAACTCCATATGCTATTTGTAAGGTGCTAGAGCCTAGACGCAATATAAAAGCCTCCTAAATTAATCTAGAAACGGGGGTAATAAGGGACACTTGAAATAAAACTCAATTTTAAAATGTTTGAAGCATGCAGAGTGTACATACTCATCCATTACTAACAGTATTCTGAAGTCTTCCACTCTTCCTCATTCTTCGTAGATGATGTAGATGTAAAATAAATGACATTTTCTGTGATTTTTACTTGTTTTTTTTTCTTTATTTATATATTACCTCATCCATACATTACCATATTATTGATGGGATATTACTGTATCCATGGATATGCCATTGAGCATTGACAACAACCTTGTCCACTGCAAGCTTCATATCAGTAACCATATAGCATTTATCTGTATCTATAAGATTACAGGATGGCTTGTAATTTTGCACAATGTTAATCAGGTCAAGTGATTTCACTATAACAAAAAAGATTGTAAAAAACATACCTGTAACAGAAAGAAATATTTTAGTGACAACCATCATATTTTTTGGAGAATTAAATCATAGTTTAGGTTAATTACTTTTCATTCTCTGTTGCCCAGTGCTCAATTCTATCTATGACATTCTATGCACGATTTCATGATGACTGATGCATTAATTTTTTGTTAAGTGAAATTTTCTTCACTGAGCAATGTAAATGTATCAAAATTCTTTGTTTTTAATTGATTTTTTCATTGACTGGAGCATATGCTAACCCAGGTTCTACTGTAAATGTGATTTTAGAGGTGTCCCTTATTACTCCATGTGCAACTTTTATGTAAGTAAAATTTTTTAATATGACAAATATTTTTTCTGCTACAGAACTTAGCAAAGGTACTTTTCCAAAATCTACTTTTCACACTTTTTTTCAGGGATTTTTTACAGGTAATAAGTGTATGATTTCTCAACTTGCTTTTTGTTACATAGATAGTAAAAATGTTGAACATTATGCCACTATTTTTAGTTCTGCAATATTTTGATTAGTTTAGCTGCTACAGCATTTCTACAAAATGTTGGAGGACTGTCCCTTATTACCCCACCCATCCCTTATTACCCCATTCGATGGTACTTGGTAATAATAATGGTTTTATATGCGCCTATAGGCTATGACCCTATGTAAATTAAAGTGGCAAAATCAAAATTTATGGGCGAGTGCTCAAGGCTGCATGGCTACTTCTTCTGATCTTATTTATAAGGAATAAACACAAAATATATATATATATATATTATCAACAGATCAGAGTTGTTTAAACTGTTTCAACAAGGCATTTGTACAAATTTCTTTACCATGAATTGCACAATTGTTGCTAGGTACTTGCTTGTCTTCATACATGCAATGGATTTTTCTTGCATTAAAAAGAGGCAGTGATAAGCCATTGAGGCTACAAAACGTTTGACCACTTTCTGATGCAAGTTTAATGTAGATAAAAATTGTAGTCATTTTATTTTTCAAAGGTATGCTATACACCATATACTACCATCAATTTGCATCAAACGGAGTAATAAGGGACGTGTGGGGTAAATCCAGTCCCCAGACAGTCATCTCATATTTTGTAGAAATGTTGTAGCAGCTAAACTAATAAAAATATTGAAAAACTAAAAATAGTGGCGCAAAGTTCAAAATTTTTACTATCTAGTATGTAGCATAAAACAAGTTAAGAAATCATACATTTACTACCTCTAAAAAATCCCTGAAGAAAAAGTGTGATTTTGGGAACAGACCTAACTTCTGCTAAAATCTGTAGCAAAAAAAAAATATATATTTGCCTGACTAAAACATTATAATTATATAAAAGTTGCACACCTGTGTTGGCTTAAAAACTTGATTGACATAATTTGCACATCTCATTCAAAAAAAAAAAAATGGCAGCTATTTCCACCAGAGAGGGCAATAAATGGGGTAATAAGGGACACCACTAAAAATGCATCTGCAGTCCCAGAACCTCAATTAGCAAAGGCTCCAGTTAACAAAAAAATCAATTACCAGCAAAAAATTTTGCTTATATATACTGCATTCAGTGACAAAAATTTCACTCAATATAAAATTAATGCATCATCGATCATCACAAAATTGTGCAGAGAATGTCATAGATAGACTATAGAGTTGTGCACCAGGCAGCATAGAATGAGACTGAGGTAACTAATTAAACTAAACTAGGCTAGTATATATACAGTCAAATGGGGTAAGACATAAAATTTTTATTTTTTGCTCAAACTTCATTATAACTTGTTAGCTTTTTTAATTAGAGAAATGTAGTGCACTATTTTATATTGCATCAAAGGGATGTCTATTCCCATTAGTGAGCTGCAGAACTATGTGCAAGATTGGCTGGGAGAAAAATCACTGTGTGAAACATGAAAAATAATTATGATCACATCTCTGTGAGAGGGCATGAGCTATGTTTGAAGAAGTATACCACAAATGCAGTTAGGTAGCAAAAAAACACATGACATCTAACACATTTTATTACTGACACTTTATTACAGTTATTACTGACATCTGACACTTCATTTTTATTACCAATTTGATAAATTTTTCAGACAATGACACTAATGGAATATACATGAAGCATTTAGCAGTGCCCTTATACTGCTCTACAATGAACCAAAGCCAACCCACTATTAGCTACCTAGTACCTACTATGCTTAACAAAGTTTTCTCGGGACAAAAATTTCAATGTGACTGATATTAGAGTTGACTTCCCGCAACACCAAACAGTAACAAGTGGTTATTTAAACAAATAATGTGTTTCTAGATGGATAATATTGAATATCAGATTTGTACTTTTATTAAAAACCTTGTAACATAAGAAATTTAAGAATTACAAGTTGGTCCATTCTTACCCCAGCCTGGGCCCATCTGCCATCTTACCCCAATGGGGTAAGATGGGACCGGCTCACTTTTTTTAATCTGTACAGAAAACTATGTTAGATGCAAAACGTCTGAGTTATAGCTTAGAACAAGCCCATTGCAAAACTACACCTTGTGATAGGTTTAGGGTTTTTTAGTTATTCATGGTATAGATGCTATAGGCTTGTTAGTGATTTCGGTCCTGTCTTACCCCATCTGACTATACCTAATTTATTTCTCCAAAAAATATGATGGTTGTTTTCTTTTTCAGGTAGGCCCTATGTTATTTACGATCTTTTTTGCTGTAGTGAATTCTTCTGGTCCAGTTAAAATGGTGTGAAATTATGCTACAAGCCATCCTGTAAGCTTACAGATACAGAAAAGTGCTGTACGGCTTCTGATATGAAATTATGAAGCTAGTAAAAATCACAGAAAATGTCATTTATTCTTCATCCACATTATCTACAAATGTAAAGGAGGACTTCAGATAACTGTTAGTAATAGAAAAATAGATGAGTACACTCTGCATGCTTAAAAAATTTTTAAATTAAGTTATACTTCAAGTGTCCTGGCCCCGGGACCCGGATTACCCCGTTCCCAGGGTCAATTTGGGACGCTTCTACATTGCATCTAGCACTTTACCCTGTCCTAACGAAAAACATGGAAATTTTTGGAAGATGACATATGTTCCTATGGAGAAAGATTATAGATTATGAAAATTAAAACCCTCTAGTCCCAGGACAAGGTCACAGAAGATGGTAATTTGATATTTCAGTGTCAACTGTTCTATTTGAAAACCCATTATTCACTAGAATTTGTTTACACGATCTGAGTTCGGTTTTCAAATCACTCTCGGATGTGCAGGTATTGAATGCTCTTTGTATGAGAGCGCGCACTGTGTTGGTTTTATAGCGCTGTGGGCATTCACTTTTTTCGTTAAGCACTTTCCAACTGCGTTAAGCACTAGTGCTGCACAACTGCGTTAAGTGCACATCCATTGTATTACGTGTGCTGAAATTATTTTTATTAGGTACTATAAACGATTCGTTCATCCTAGGTTGTGGATACTGGATAGCAGGGCCTTTATTATGGTTGAACAAGATGTACTACCGCCTTCATTGAAATACAACTCGAGCAATATTACTCGCAAAGACATATTTGGCTCACTTGCGATTCACCGTTATTTTGCTGGATATTTCTTCGAATAAGAGGCACTTGAAAAGTTGAAGCCCAAATCTATTTGTATCTACGGTATTTAGGTATCAAGTTTCATTATAATTCATATTCTGGTGGAAAAAATGAAGGAACTATAATATCCCGAGTCACGACGCTATCAGCATCAGCTTTATTTCAGACGTAAGACCATTTATCAAGTAAAGCTTTGCAATTCTCTTTGCATTTAAAGAATTGATGTCACTCGTTTGCTCAAGTTGCAAGTTCACTAAAAATTTAGAAGCAAAGAATAGTCCACAAAAATGAATTTAGCTGTTAGCTCCTATCCCTTTGAAATTGTGAATGGATAGGTTTTTTGTGCTCTTTTACTTATAAATGTAATTTAATTTAAGGTATTGAATTATATTCTTGCTTTCAATTGCATTAATTTGCGACTTTCTATCTAAATTCTAGATTCTACGAACTGACGATGGAGCTGGACTCCGAAACGTTATCTATAAAGATATGAATTTATGTGGACTATTCTTTGCTTTTAAATTTTTAGTCTCTGCATTAACTCACAGTCATTAACATTGAACGTAATTCAAAATCGCGTAGGCCTATACTTTTTAGTTTTTGCATTGAGTATCACTCGCGATGAAACTAGGACCTAGAAGATCCATGTAGATATGATCAATTTTTGCCTCCGATTGTAAATGAAACATAAAAAACTTGCAAGTTTTTATTCAACACACAAAAAAGCAGAGAATTATCCTTTGCATCATCTTAGTGGTCGCCAGATTACAAGGCCCTCCAGTCAGTGTATTCGAACACATTACCTAGAAAGAGGCAAACCGCAATGTCTTCAGGTTGATATGAAGTTTATTCATATAATAACTTTTTACTGCGTAACTTTGCAATGAGCATCATACTGATCATGTAGCTCATTTAAAATTGATTAAAATTGTGCAATATTTCATTCTAAATTTCTCCCAAAACGGATTCTACCGAACGTCATCATTTCACAATATTGAGTGAATAATTTAGGGAAGAATAGTGAAAGTGAACATGGAGAATAAAGAAGAGACTATCTAACTATAAAAGTTACAGAAATAATTTTATCATTATTATCAAAGTTGTGTTACATCTATCTGAATAGTGCAGCAGTGAATATTTGGGAATTGATGATTCTTAAATATGTTTTAAATTTCAGGAACTCGAGCCAGAATGTACTCGGTGTCGGAGTTTTGATTTATCCTTACCTCACAAACATCCTTATATGCATGAGTAGATCATTGTTTTCTAGTCATACCTGCAGTTAGGGATGGGCTCGACGGTAAAAGTAGCCTTGTAGCCTTTATATTTGTTCTCAGTTCCAAATTGAACGAAGTTGGGATTCTTGTAGTGAAAGATGAGATCAGTCTTGTCACTCTTGAATACCGTACCTTTCTCAATTTCTTTCCCGCAGAACCTGAAAAAAATTTGTATGAAAAACATTAAATTTTCTATGGAGTACATAAAATTATAATAGACGTTTTTCAAGTTAAATTATATTTTAATTGATTCTGTATTCAACACTGTGAATTTATTCATACTGTAACGATAGAAATTTCAGTTGAACTAACTTATCTTCACCTATAACAAACGTCATTGAGACTAAAACAATTACTGAGTATGAATTATTTCAACTAAATCGCACAGAAAGTAATCTATTTATTAAAGCGTCGCTTAAATACAAGCCGTACAGTTTTCCACCCGCCACCGTAACATCAGAACGAATCTCCAGAGAGCCGAACTCGCAGATTTTGTCTTCTGTCGGATTGCGAGGAGCGAGCTCAAAGTCGCTGAACTTGACCACCGCTCTGTGACACTCGGGGGCACGCATAATCTGCGTGTACTTCGTTTCTGGAACAAAATTACACCATTAAAAATAATTATCTTGATATTAAAGCCTTATAGAATGAGTAGCTTGCATCAGTAATATACTCTTTTGACTTATTTTCATCTAGTACATGTTATTCTAAAAAGTTTTCATAATTCGCAGAAGGAATTGTTACATGAGATTGTAATTGAGTTTGGATGCCTTGTTCCGTCGCGTTCCTTACTTGCGAAACACGACTTTGCTTCTAAGCATGACTTAAACCATTTAACAACAACCTTTCTTAGTTATATCAATTCAGCTATATATTCGGAGCGATAAAAATATATTTTTGGTAATTAGAAAGCAGATTTATCAAAAATTTTACTTTCTATTTTGATCCTAAATGAGAATCATATGTCAAATACTATATACTATTTTATTTGCAGTACACGATAACCATTTGGGGTACTGCGGCGGTAAATCATTCGTGCAGAAAATCAAAATATTTTGCTGTGGTCAGGATCTCGAAATGTTGCGTCAATTTTGCAATTTTCTTTTATTGATTTTAAATAATGTTGCAGGAGTCTGCCTGATTTAAGAAGACTTGTAATGAGGGCTCTTAGGATCATGCATGCCAGCCAACATTTTTTTGGTCAAGTTTAAATAAGGTGCGATAGGAATGTTCGTATATTTTATGACCTAATCCTGACTGATGAGTTTTGTTGGTTTTGTACTTATTATTGTGCTGTGTTTTTAGGGCATGGCTTGATAGCTGTAAAAGCAGAGGATCACGAGGTGGTCATTATGAAATTTCTTGTATTTGAAAACGTACGGTCTTGTTACGTGTGTATCTTGGCAGCGTATTCGGCATATGATGATTGCAGCTGTAAATAACTGCAAAGGAAATATTTCTCGTCATGTAAAAGTTGGTTAAATAATTAGGTTGACTTAGTGCTCCTGTGTTCAGTAGGAAGGAGTTAGTGTCATGTTGTTTACGTAGAAACCGTGTGCTCTCTGGCACTTTTTACGATTATGAGCACACGGATTAAGGCGCTTATTGAGTGTTATGCATAGTTACGGGTGTGCTACGCATATTCGGGGTATGATGATGTGGCTGATGTGCACAAGTGTGTAGGATTAACTCTCATGTTGTAGCCTTTATAATAAATAGCTGGGTTGGTGTAGCGTTCTTCAATGCATCTGGGAGCAGTTAGGGAGATACTTTTGCATTGCATGCGCAGAAACCGTTTGTTCTATTTGTACGACGATATTGTCTCTGGGAAAGATTTCAGGATGACTTTCTAATTACCATTTTTGAATTCACTGGATTCTTCATGTCTTCGAATTTTTCCGGTGTAATTCTAAACATAATTTTTAAGTTTATAATGAAGAAATCCAATTGCCAAACTTGAACTTTTCATCATAAAATCGTTCAAGTTAGGAAAATATTGCATCGTTATCTGTGAAATTAAGGAAATCGTCTGCAATTTCGTATTTTTTTTTTCATTTGAACATGGAAAAAAAACTTGGTTCGAGAATACTGAAAAATTAATTGAACCTCATTTTTATATTTGATAGAAGGTTTTCAGTTATAGGTTTAGCAAAGCTATTTCAGAACGTTGAGGAGAAGTGAGATGTAAAATAGCAATACAAAATTCAACTCTAATCTAAACATTACTGTTCCTCATACAATTTTAAACTCTAATTTGATCTATCCTGTCCTTCATCATCGGGCCACGTACCTGCCGATGGACTGTCGTCAGGGTAGCCAAACGAGACGACCTCTGTACCAGAGGTTGTGATGACGGAGGTGTACGGAGAGATCTGCTTTATCAGAGCATCTGCGGTGTAATACAAACTTTAAATAATGCGAAATATGAAATTGCAAGGCATTGAAAATGATTTAATCGTAGTACAAAAACTTATCGCGTTCAGATTGGGTCACGTCAAAGAAATAATATCTCATCAGATCGAAACAATCCGATTGTAGGCCGAAGCTCACAGAAAAAAACAAATGAAAAAAGATAAACTAATTTCGTAGATCGAAAACAAGGCTCAACTCAATGCAGTCCGCTTTGAACATAAACATTTAACATCAAAGTTATTGTAAATATTCGGTGAAAACTGCCAATCATGACTTGCTGAATGAATGAACGAGATAGTGAACATGACTCACCGTTGCTGTTCATGATATTTATCTTTCATGATCTACCAAACGTGTTACACAGAAGCGACTCTTGTAATAATGTTTATACCTTGTAGCGACCATGTTTATATATTTCCTCTAGTTACCCCCGCAACTCATTTTCTAGGAACGTTGCTAGCCTTGTGAATTCTAGCATAGTTACCCATCAACTCTAACTCAACATTATTATCCATGTTATTGCCTTAAGCATCATTATCAATTAGCAACTGCAGTTGATATCCTGTTAGATATGATTTAGCTACGTATGCATATTATTAGCACTGACCTAGGGGATTACAACGTCAAGTAAGTCCAGTTGTCATAATCATTTGCATATCTGTAATACCGTTCTTAATCTGGCCTCCGGACCTTGACCCAGTAAATTAGGAGAATTACTTCTGTGTTTCATTCCCTAATTCGAAACACAATTGTAAGACGCTAGCGCAGTCTGGTCTCTGACTTACACGCCTTAGCCGAAACATAGGGCGTTTGGTACAACCAAACGTTTGGCACGAGTCATAGACCTTAAGGGACTCAATACCGAGCCGCTAGCATTCCCACGTCTTACAACCTCACCTCTGTAACTCATGTTGTACACCTGACACTTGTCGCCCGTGGTGCCCAGAGGACACGCGCAGCTGCAGTCCTTCTGCGTGTAGCCGCCGTTCTTGCAGGGTTCTGACTCTTGCTTGCAGCTCGCCAGCCAGTCGTCTGCAGAGAGAAATGATTAAATGAATAAAATACTACAAAATAAATAAATTCACTGCTCCTATCGCTTATATTTTCCTTGAAAATCCCTCTATTGTCTACTGAAATATTTCACATATATTCTGTGTTCGACATATATTCCGTGTTCTTATCTCTATCCAAAAACTATATGAAACTAAATGCATTTGGTTGCATTATAGACCCATTAGCCTCAGTAACATACGTACCCAGATAGAATTTCACTGAAAAGTTTGAAATGCGCAGTGTCCGCAAAATGGTCAGCATCATTAACAAGCAATGTCGTCAGTAGCAACTTTTAGAACCAAATTTTTGGCAGTTCCATTCGAACCATTTGCCTTTAGGTCACATATGTAAACTTGGTCAGCTTCGTCCATGCTTTAAAGTTCAAGTGATCAAACAAATAATTCGAGTGGAAGTCGCCTTAGTCTTCTGTCAGCTTGGGGGTAGTCGAGTAGTTAAGAATAGTGAATAGAATAGAAGTGCCGGCACTGAAGAAATAGGCCCATGGCCTGTTGCCGATTCTTGTATTTTTCGTGACTTGATTCTACAAGAGATCCGGCCTTTGGAACCCGATCTTTCCATAACTGACGATTGGTTGATATAGCTGCTGGACATAATGCCTGGTCCGTAAGGTGCAAGGCATTTCAAAACTGAACATATGCTCCTGCATAGCTTCGTCTATAGTCTGTTCTTGGAGGCGTTCATACTCGGAGCGTCAAAGATGCTATCAGGGAGGCTGTTCCACATGGCGGTGACTCGAAGCGAGAAGAAAAGTTGTTCATGGATGTGTTACAACGCAGTTTTTTAGTTTATAGCTGTGGCCTCTGGTGTTGGTTCTTGTTTCAAATTCTAGTAATCCTTCTGGGACCTTGTATAAATCGTGAGTATACTTGTAACTTCAATCGCCAACATGGCTTATCGAAGCTTCAACCACAATATCATTTTATAATTTGTTATATGTTATTTGTCATAATTTGCTATAAAATAAAGAACTTCCTTGGCTCACCTATGCATCCGTAAGCTGTGTTCACGAGCTTGGCGTTCCAAAAGCTGATTTTTTTCCCGTCGCCCATGACGAGTTGAAATCGTGGGTCTCTAGCGAGCATCGTGCGCTTGTCGTCTCCGCTAGCAGCCTTGGAAGGGAAAAACCATGGAAATTCTATTTAAAGATAGCATGTTTGAAATATGCAGGGTTATTTGCATTAATGGAATATGTCATAAAAGAACCAAATGTTGGAATTTTCCATATTATAAAAATTAAAACATTGTCACAGGTCTATTATAACTTTAACATTAAATTTTACTCGGAATCTAAGGTAAAAGTCTCAAACTTAACGCACGAATAATATTCAGTGGAGACTTGAATCCTCACCCAATGTTTTGTGAACGGACCCGTCACCAATTCAATTATTGTGGACCTTTAATTGTTATTCTGGTCATAAATAAGCTTTTCTAAGTCCCGTGCTTCCAAAGGCTTCATTTATCAGCCGAGTCACTAGCATATTTGCACATGCGCAGGTGGCTCACTCGTGCCTGATCCTGCAATTAGGGCGCTGCGGTCTCGCTTGAGCGAGTCTATGCAATCTATATTTTATAATTTAGCATTCATGTCTCGCTCGGTCATTGTACTGCATGTGTGACTCACCCGGTCATAGTACTGCATGTATGACTCACCCGGTCATTGTACTGCATGTATTACTCACCCGGTCATAGTACTGCATGTATGGCTCACCCGGTCATAGTACTGCATGCGTGACTCACCCGGTCATAGTACTGCATGTATGACTCACCCGGTCATAGTACTGCATGCGTGACTCACCCGGTCATAGTACTGCATGTATGACTCACCCGGTCATAGTACTGCATGTATGACTCACCCGGTCATAGTACTGCATGTATGACTCACCCGGTCATAGTACTGCATGTATGACTCAGCCGGTCATAGTACTGCATGTATGACTCACCCGGTCATAGTACTGCATGTATGACTCACCCGGTCATAGTACTGCATGTATGACTCACCCGGTCATAGTACTGCATGTATGACTCAGCCGGTCATAGTACTGCATGTATGGCTCAGCCGGTCATAGTACTGCATGTATGGCTCACCCGGTCATAGTAGTGCATGAGGGAGTAGTAGTCGTAAGGGATGTTGTAATTGACGGTCTTCAATAAAGCGAAATTAAACTCCTTGCCTACTTCGATGTTGTCCGCTACCAAAATGATATGGTCGTTCCTGGGGAAAATTTCTTCCTTAACTATGATCCTTAGAGTTGCATTTCCGATGCCATATCATAATGCTGGATAGTAATGAAATGAATGCCTAAGCAGTCAATGATAGCTTTCAAACACAAATGGCAAGTTTCTTTTAGAATAAAATTAATTGTATGACATACTTCATGAAAATTGAAGCATTATTAACATCGAACATCATCTATGATCAACCTTAGGTTTCAATTGTCATTAAAAGGCCTGCGCCGTATTAATTATAAGATCATCAAGATGAATATACACTGCGCACCACATAACTATGTTAGTCAAGTTTTCTCTTGAGACTGATAAATGTTTTTTCTCGCTATTCCCTCACACTTTTAAAGTGTGCGGCACTTAACTACACCCGCTCTGTCGCGACCACCTTCTGATGAGGATGGAATTGATCAACCGTTGTGGCTGGTCTCTACCCCGAACAAGGTTCTCTCGCAATTAAATGAGGTATCTAGCTACTATTAAACTATAGCATAGCCTTTCTGAGGTTATTCGCGAGTTAGGAGACGAGATATCTTCCTTTGTAATTATTGTTTTGATGTGTTAATATGTTAACCTCAATCTCCTTTGTTTCACATTTTCTTAACCTTCTTAATAAAATTCGATATCGACATAGTAATAGTTTATATTACACTAATACTGTTTTTGTCATCAAATAAAAAGTCATCAATTATTTTTGTCCTGTGTCATCAAATAAATGGGATCCACTATATAAGCATGAGCAGGATTTGGAAAAAATTGTTCAGCTAGTAAACAGAAATTCAAAGTTATTATAAGTTCATGAGCAAAATTCTGTCAAAATAAAGAATCATTTATCGGCGGGTTATAAATTGACGTTCACAGTTCCATTATTGCCACCCGTAATGCCACCTTTCCTACACCTTACCTGTCGCTGCGACTCTGTTCGTGCTGCAGTCCCAATGCGTGAGCAATTTCGTGGGTGACGCCTCTCCCCTGAAATTCGACGAATTCATTGATAATAACAAAATAACAGTTAAAGCACATTTATTTAATATGATAGATACCAGCAAGCCAAGCATGAGTTGACATAGACTTGCAGTCCTAGACTTAGACATAGACAAGTCTAGGCCATAGACTTGCTATCCCTGTCCATCCCAACAAACTAGTTATTAATTAGTTCATCATCCGTCTTTCATATTCTTCGAAGACTTATTTACAGTTAATATTTCGCCTATCGTAATACTCGGAGAGTTATTTACAGTTAATCCTCCGTCTTTCACAATCCTCGGAGACTTATATACAGTTCATATAAACACTTAACTGACTTGTTGGCATAGCCTTTTCATGAAACGCCTTGGACCTTAACATTAAACTATTTTTAACCATCCAGAGTTCACCGTGAAATGGATACTTACAACAGAAAGCTATATATATTCAGAAGTCACTTCAACAAACCACGTCATGCCGCGCTTTCATTCAATATATCCAATATAAAAGTGCATGAAACAAGGACCATTCGCTTGAAAACTTTCCTTTGCTTCTTTTATAATAATGTGTAAATGAACTTGAAGAATAAATCATGAAAAAGAAGGCGACTATGATACACTCCGTGAAACGGTGAATGCGGCGAATATTTCGGACTGTATTAAAAGGACATGAATGTGGCTGATTCATGGTTGTTTCTCAAAGACACGGTTATGTCTGCAGTTGATGCTTGTGTACCCAAGATTACGCTTGGAGGAGTTAAAAAGTCCCAGTGGATGAACAGTGCAGTTAAGCTAAAGACCAAGAAAGAAGCATACAAGCGTTATTTACGAACTCGCAGCGAGTCTGATTATAACCTGTATGCCAGAGCTCGAAATCAAGCTAAAAAAGTTTGTCGCACTGCAGTGAAACTGTCTCTTATACACATCTAGAGTATGGATAATTTTACAAGGTTCTTATCCTGTCTCTTATACACATCTAGATGTGTATAAGAGACAGGATAAACTCCGTGAAACAGTGATTGCGGCGAATATTTCGGACTGTATTAAGGACATGAATGTGGCTGATTCATGNTTGCGTATAGTTGTGGGGCTGTCTCTTATACACATCTACTTCAAACTATCGTCTGCCATGAAAAGATCCGGTCAAATGACACGATTTTAGATCTTCTGTGAACAAGGCACGAAAAGGAAAAGAATCGGCGACAGGCCATATCAGGCCTTCGCTTCAGCGCCGACATCACTATATTATGTTATGTTATGTTATGTTCTGTAAAAGATACATAATACAATGCATTTTTTAAACGTTCCACACCAAAAGAAAAAGTGCTTAGCACTCGGCACTCGAAACTCGGCACACAAAATTGAATTATTTTAAATTTTTTAACGACGTTAAGGAACTTGATAATGATGATAAAAAGCTTGATAATTGATAATGAGTTGGACTTCTCACACAACGTTCCTAACCCTACAACATATGCCTCCGGCGCAAAGCTAACTTCTGTAACCTGTTTGTTCGAAATTTGTAGACAAACGGAGACTCACAAAAATATCTGAGGTAGAGACTTAACAAAAGACTAAGGTACGTACTGCGCAAGTGTCGACACTGATTCTAGTGTTTTTGCCCTTCCTGTAACCCACAGAGGCGTAACATCCTTTCTTGCCCACGAACTCCATGAACTCTGCGCGCTCGTCCAACACTTCCATCTCGAAGAACTTGATGCACGTCGCCGCCTCCCAGGCGCCGATCGCCTCTTGTAGCACCGTCATGTTCATTTTCGCTGCAACACGCAGGGCAGGATTTGAACTCATAAGAACTAATGGTTTTGTAGATGGAATTTAATTATGAAGTGTTATTAACGAGAGGCTAAATTTTATTAGATTACGTGAAGGTATGTTGAACATTTCAATGACCACCATAGCTGAATTTCTTGTTTCTTGAAATGCGTGCATTTCATTCAGTTCATGGGATCGAACAGAACGGCATACATAATTTTCTTGAAACCTATTTATAAGCTAGAAAGTCTTAAGTTGATACTTTACCTTCCAAGCTAGACACATATTATAAGAGAATCCATTTGCTAAAACAAATAATGAGTGGCTGTTGTCTTTTATATGTTTAGTGAACCTAACAATTTAGAGCTCTAGCTCAGAGGTTGGCAAGCTACATCGACCCTCTCCATCAACACACAAATTCGAATAGATGAAATAATTATATAGGCATTGAATTGTTTCATTTATAATTTTAAATTACTATGCTCTAAATCAAACGAATGCTATATAGTAACTTATACATCTTATGAGTTATATATCAGTATTAAGAGATACTTCTTACGGAATAATATGAAGTAAAAAAGATTTTTTCCTTGGGAGAGTTTTAACTGTTTCGATATCTAACAAAACTTAACGTAGATAAATATACGTGAATTATCATTCTACGAGTATAGAATAAATGTGTTAATTTGTCGACCTCTCATAAATTTATTGACCTCACGAGTTCTGTCGTTGACCTTCCATGGGTCGATATTCGCCACATTGACGCTTCTGGACATAAGTAAATCGTGTAATAACCTAGTCTTGACCAAAATATGTGTGGTAATTTCATTTAACTTATGACAAATAATCTGCTTGGGATTTTGTAGTTAAATGTAATTAAATGGTAATAGAGAGGTACAGCTGAGACAGTTGATTACAACGCATGAAACTCAAATTGACTTACGATAGGATATCTTGTAAGGAATTTTCAAGGCCCCGTTCGTTCGTGGCCAAAGTTTCTTCACTGAATGCAAGTTTTTAGCGAGAAAATTTTGCCATTCTTCCGCAGAATAGAGGATGTCTCCGACCAGGACAGAGCCATCTTCTACCCGCGGCATTCCCTGCAAGACTCAAACATTTTGTTTGCTTGTATAAATAAATTTATTGTCTGTCGTGAGCGCAGTGCAGTATATAAAATACTGAGTACTGATGAAGTTAGACTTATGAATTTGCAACAGCGACGTATTAGATCAGAGCTAGCATATAAACGTTAGTATATTTTACCAAATAATGATGCGACGTATTAGATCAGAGCTAGCATATATACGCAAGTATATTTTACCAAATAATGATGCGACGTATTAGGTCAGAGCTAGCATAAATACGCTGGTATATTTTACTAAATAATTGACGCGACGTATTAGGTCAGAGCTAGCATAAATACGCTGGTATATTTTACTAAATAATTGACGCGACGTATTAGGTCAGAGCTAGCATAAATACGCTGGTATATTTTACTAAATAATTGACGCGACGTATTAGGTCAGAGCTAGCATAAATACGCTGGTATATTTTACTAAATAATTGACGCGACGTATTAGGTCAGAGCTAGCATAAATACGCTGGTATATTTTACTAAATAATTGACGCGACGTATTAGGTCAGAGCTAGCATAAATACGCTGGTATATTTTACTAAATAATTGACGCGACGTATTAGGTCAGAGCTAGCATAAATACGCTGGTATATTTTACTAAATAATTGACGCGACGTATTAGATCAGAGCTAGCATATATACGCTAGTACATTTTCCTAAATAAATGATGCGACGTATCAGAACAGAGCTAGCATATAGACGCTAGTACATTTTACTAAATAAATGACTAATTTTACATGTACATTTAAACACCACTCAGAGAAACGAACAAGACTTTGTCCACATAGCGAAGCACCTTCTTCTTTTGTGTGGGTTACCCTGGCCCTGTTTGGTCCGGCAAAAAGGCGTATAGATGTGTATAAGAGACAGCCCTAGAATCACCAAACAATTACTGAGCGTATTACTATAGTCTTAAACTGAACACAAGCAATTTCTGCTTGTGAACACGATCAAACGATAGGAGACTTAAATATATTATACCCTAGAAGCAGAGCTGGGCAGCGCTACTTTGAAATGTAGCGCCGCTACCGCTACCGCTACATGCTCTAAATGTAGCGGACGCTACCGCTACCGCTACACCCACTAGATTGTAGCGGGTGCTACCGCTACAGTAAAATGTAGCGCCGCTACATTAGCCGCTACAATGGCCAAAATAATAGGAAATCTCTAAATATTTATTGTTCTGCCATTGGGATTTACTCGTAAACATTTAATGATAATAAAACATTTTCAAAACATATCAATGCAACTTTATTGCAATGAACCTAACCGAAATAGTACGGGTTAGATACAGTAAATAAAAGTTATTCATATGTTTTACCTTCCCTACATGGGTCTACTTTATCTACCAATCTCAAAAATTATCCAAATAGACATATAAAAAAATCAGTCTTTTATTTGTATATATATGTGGATAATTTTTGAGATTGGTAGATTAAAGTAGTTATCCATGTAGGGAAGGTTAAACATAAAAATAACTGTGTAAAAATAACTGTAAGCAAACTGAAGTTAGGTAGCTGATGTCCGTGATGTGGTCGTGGACATGTGGTGGCAGCTGGCACGGAACAAGAACAAGTGATAACTGGTAACAACGTAACAAGTAACAACTAACATTTTGACACTAGTAACAGGCTGAGGTTAACAACATTACACCGAAATTCTTCGTACAGTTTTATTCTGTAATTCATATTATGTATTGGATAATGTATGTATAGTATGTATTGGATAATGCTGGTTTTTAAATAATATTTAATGCTATTAAGTAATATCTAAGGGCTTTATCTATAAATGTAGCGGTAGCGCTGTAGCGGCAAAACCTTGTATCGCTACTTAAATATGTAGCGGGCGCTACCGTTACAATTGCAAGGGAGGTATACCCTGAAATTTTCAGATTTGGCATTTTTGGGTTTTAATCTCATCTTAAAGCTGAAATTATGCTCTTTCCAATGGTACCACTGCCATGTCTGTATGTAAATATTTACGTTCATGACGTCTCTTTAAAGGGAAGCGGGTGGGAGAGTTCTTTAACTAATTAGATATAAAGTAATTAGCTGCTGAAATCTTTGAATATAGTTTCTACTTGAGTTGTGCTTCAGTTACATGCTTAGTCTCATCTTAAAGCTGACATTCTGAGCTTTTCAACGATACTATTGCGATAGCTGTGAGTGAATTTTAACGCACACAGCTGGGCTCTAAAGGGGGGCGGGGGTGGATTTCCTTCAGAAAATAGATAGGACTTAATTCACTCGCTAAGACTACATATAGGTGTGTATCTGGCATCAAGGCTAAGTTACCCTGCTTGCTTCATAGGGAGACGTGTGCTACAAGACGCTGCTAGCTTCCTTGAGTGGAATTAGGCTACAGAAGCCTGTAGTTTGGTTTAACAAGTAACAACTAACATTTTGACACTAGTAACAGGCTGAGGTTGACAACATTACACCGAAATCTTTCGCACAGTTTTATTCTGTAATTTGTATTATGTATTGGATAATGTATGTATAGTATGTATTGGATAATGCTGGTTTTTAAATAATATTTAATACTATTAAGTAAAATCTAAGAGCTTTATCTATAAATGTAGCGGTAGCGCTGTAGCGGCAAAACCTAGTATCGCTACTTAAATATGTAGCGGGCGCTACCGCTACCGTTACAATTGCTTAAATGTAGCGCGCTACTGCCCACCTCTGCCTAAAAGAAACAAAAAATTACCGGGCATATTACTTTAGTCTTGAACTGAACACGAGCAATCTTGCTTGTGAACATGATCAAATGATATATAGGAGACTTATATATATTACGCCTTAGAATCTACAAAAAAGTTACTGAGCTTATTACTATAATCTTAAAGTGAACACAAGCGATATTGCTTGTGAACACGATCAAACGTTAGGAGACTTAAATATATTATACCCTAGAATAGATCACAGCTAGCATGTACACGCTAGTATATATTACCAAATAAATGATACAACGTCTTAGATCAGAGCTAGCATATATACGCTGATACATTTTCCTTAATAAATGATGCGACGTATTAGTACAGAGCTAGCATATACACGCCAGTATATTTTACCAAATAAATGATACAACGCATTAGATCAGAGCTAGCATATATACGCTGGTACATTTTACTAAATAAATGACTAATTTTACATGTACATTAAAACACCACTCAGAGAAACGAACAAGACTTTGTCCACATATAGCGAAGCACCTTCTTCTTTTGTGTGGGTTACCCTGGCCCTGTTTGGTCCGGCAAAAAGGCGTATCAGAGCTACGCGCAGAAAGTGTGTCACCATTTAAACAATATGACACATTCACTTCTCTGAGTGAATACTCACCTTAGGTACTTCACTTGCAGGCTTTGACTATAAATATATTGAGGCCTTTTTCCAAGATCCACTTAATACCGCGTGAATGTTTCACATTGAGCCTACTACTAACCTGCCAATTCAGTCAACGGAATCTCTAGGAAATGAAAAATATTCATTCAAAAATAATTCACGGGAATATCAACCATTAACCATTAACCATGATGCCTGTTTTGCCTTTCTTGTGTTCCCACGACCAATGGTAAAAAATTGGCACTCAGTATATTCATTTTACGCTCATTGTAAAGTCGTATAGCGTTAATTTGCTTCCTATTGTATGCTGAATGTCACCCTAGTTGAATTCATTAAAATGAGTATGTGTAACGTTAAGAAGAACTAATTTTTAAATTCAATATACGCTATTCATTATAATTCTAAATGAATGAAGATTGTACATTTCATAACCACACAGAAAAATGCTGAAGTTGAGAAATTTCGAAATTGAAAAACTGTACCGTAGGTGCGGCATTGATGTTCGCCACGCAGTAGCAGAGACAGAGCACCAGGATTTCTTGAAGCCGTTTTCTCTCCATTGCAAAAGCGTGCACAGTAACTGTCAAACAAAAAAAATACAGGCATGAATATAATCGTCCCATTTTGAAGTGATTCCTTGCTGCAAGCAATAAAGAAAGTAATATTCATTATAGTGGAGCAATCAGAAGCTTGTATAGCCGTGGCGGTTGTTCCTGCTTGAACGTGCTGCGAAATATGTTATACTTAATTATTTTTTGCACTTATATTGATCTGTTTCAACTCATTTATAGCGCATAACTTCCTAAATCTCAGCCTACTTATAGTTTCGCTACTCCATCACCACCTCCATACCCTCTTATCGAGGGTATATAAAAAATATAACTCAGTATACTCACTGCAGTGAGTGACAGAGAGCGCATTTTCTCGTCGACGAAAACTTGTGGTCACGGACGGACGGACAGACAGACAGACAGACAGACAGACAGACAGACAGACAGACTGACGGACATGGCGAGCACAATNGGCAGCGACATCGCTGCCAAACCATGACAAAATGCATTGCAGGAAGACAATGGTACTAATGATGATGAAGTAAAAAGGCAAATTGATAATGATGTTGAGGAACATGGGAGTAATGCGGTGAGTGGACGAGTAGGTAAGAGCACACTGGGGGAGTCTCTGTTGTGGGTTCGAGACTCGCAGCAATTTGTTAAAGTTCTGATCGAAATCGACGAGGTGGTCAGGTGGTATAGCACAGCAAGAAGGGAGCAGTGAATTCCGTGCCAAAGACCCACATGCATCAGCTGCAAAAATTCTGCTATGTTTACTAACGGTGACATGTCGGATGGCTTAATCTTCAATGCCGAATCCCAATTTTTCTGATATTATTACATTATATCTCAATGTACGCTGGTACTGCCATAGCAATCAGAAGTCAACTCTCAAGTTTGGTGTCATGTCTTCAGTAAGTATACGTAATTTTCTCAGAGGCTGTAATCTCATCATCAAATTAAGATTTCGAACTGCATTGATGTAAAAAACACTAAGCGTGATGACTGGACTATGTAACATGGCATGCTGTTACCATTGACTGATTTTAGCGCAACTAGTGCAT